CACTTACCACGCCTCCCCAGCCCAGGCTTCTCCCTCCAGAAATGGCAGGAAGCAGCCAGTCCCCCATGTCACCCCACAGAGCATGCCTGTAGGGCTGTCCCGGGGAGGCCAGGAGGCTCCTCCTCTTTGCACCCCCTTCCAGCACTCATTCATCCACCCCAACTCTATCCGCCCACACACCCACACACAATATGAAAGTGCTGAGGAGCTGGAGGGAATGGCCATGCAAGACCCCAGCCCGGGGAGCGCTCATGTGTTCATTCAACAGATACTTACTGAGCACCTGCTATGTGTCAGGCACTGATCTGGAGATGAAATACTTCAGTGACCAGGCGACAGCAGCCTCCTTTGTCGTTAGGGAGCCTCCTGTCTAGTGAAAGGAGACAAGACAGCATGAACCCACTGATGGGGAAAAGCAGCAGGTGGCGTGATGAGGGCCTCACCTGGGCCTCACTGAGGATTGAATTTAAGCTGTGCCCTCCTTTACAATCCAGGAAGATGAGGATTCAGAAAACAGCATCAGACAGAGCAGAGCCAGGGCAAGGCCCGGTGCCAGGGTGAGCCGGGCTGGTCCAGGGACAGAAAGGCTGAGTTGTGGGCACAGGGCACGGGTGCCGGAGGCAGGCCAGCGCCAGAGGTGCAGACGCGTGCGGTTCCGACCACCTGCCAGGTAACCCTGCCAGCTTTGGAGTGGAGCGGGACTCGCCCAGATCATGCTGTTGACGACTTCCTGGTGGTTTGGGGATAGGCCCTGTGCAGGAGTTGGAGACCCACTGCTGCCCCCACAGAGCTTAGCATCTGCCAGGTGCTCAGCCATGCCACCTGGGGGCAGGAAGGTGGTCTGGCTGGCCTCCAGCACCTCTCCAGTGCCACTCGCCAACATAACCTTCTGTGTCTGGGCTGGTGCCCCTACTAGCCACCCACGGGACCAACATTCTGGGCCCACATGGCACCGCCTGAGGCCTGGCACCAAGAGAACATCCCCAGGTTGGTCGACTCGGCCAACGCAGACAAAGAGTCAGGGAGCCTGGCGCCACGCGGGCACTGGGCACAGAGGCGATGAGCCGGTCCAGAGTGGGATGGAAACCCTTGGCCCACAATTCCACTTCGCCCTCTGTCCAGCTGTGTCCTGTGGGAGGGACAGTCAGAGGCTGAGCCCTGGCACAGGCTCTCGTCCAGAAGCCCAGGGCCTTCCTGGGAGGACTTCCTACAGACAGTGCTGGGGCCAGGTGGCGGGTCCGTACTCAGCCAGACTCTCGTTTCTGAAAACGATATCGAGAACCTCAGTGCGTAAACACTGCGGCAGCTTTACCTGCCGCTGGAGTCACCCGGGCCCGGGCCCACCCTCCTCTGCCTCACTCCTGGCGAGCGGGGCAGCCCCTTGTGCTCCTGGGCCTCAGTTTCCTCTGTGGATGCAAAACTGGGCTGTGTGCCCCGCCCCCCTCCACAGGAGCCCCTCGCCCTTGACAGCAGAGCCTGGAGAAAGTCCGCACACAGAGAGGTGGTGGCAGTGTGCAGGGCTGGTGGGGGCAGGCCAGAGCAGGGAAAGAGACCCCCAGTTGCCTGCCTAAATCCTGGGGGACAGGACAGTTGACTGCCAATAGCAGCCACCCCCGAGGTTCGAGAACGTCGGTTCCCACGATCTGCCGTTTCCTGCGCAGCGCGGAGGGTCATGGCCCGCAGGCTGGCTTCCAGCTCTGGGAACCAGCTTCCCCGGATCCACTCGGGTGGTCTCTGGGCGTCAGTCACCCAACAGTTAATGCATTTTCGTCCTGACTGACAAGCAGCACAACAGCAAACAGTCAACTATTTTTATCTCCAGATTAATCACAAAAGGCTAACGTTTCCACCTTCCCTGTGATTAAAAATTAGGAGACCAAACTCTGTAGCGGTTCAGGATAATAACCAATCCTGTGAGGGCCTCTATGAATAATGCATGTCCTGGCCCGGTTGCCCCAGACTTTCTCGCCTCCCAGCCTCAGCTCTGGGCCCTCTGAAGACAGGGAATGAGTCCCCCTTCCTTCCCTGGGAGCTGCAGCTGCCACCGGGGTGGTTGATTTCTATTCAGCCAGTGGGCCCCCAAACATCCTCCCTCCGCACCCACCCCACCCCATCTGCACCCCCACCCCATCTGGTGTGCAGCCAAGCGAAGGCCAATCAATAATGCATGGCTGCATGAATAGCCGCGTGATAACCGCTTATTTGGGAAGATGTAATCAGGACCCATTCTGAGAGGGGATGTGTGAGCGCTCCTCACACGGCCGTCCCACACCCTGTCCCCTCGTCTCCGCTCCTCATCCAGGATTCCCAGCACAGCACGCAGCAGGAAGGAAGGGCTCCCCCATCACGGGCTTTTTTTTTTTTTTTGGAAAGGCCCCCTCGGTCCCCACACCGTGATCACAGGAGTTAGGAGCCTGAGCCAAGGCCCCGAGACGGTCGGTTCTGAGACGTGGCCCCGCGGGGCACTCTGGGAGTTCTCGGGCTCCTGGGCTGCGGCCCTGAGCTTAAACATCTCTCCTGGGAGACTACTGCGCGGCCAGGGTTAAGAATCTCTGTCTCAGACGCAGCGAGAGTCAGTGCTGGAGAGAACACTCCAGGTTCCCTGCTGAACTTTTGCACATTATCTGAGGAACTAAAACTGGACGAAGGGGTTGAGGCCTCGCCCTCTGGCGGAGGGCACCTCCCACCAGGCCGCACCCCTGGCCTATTATCCTGTTGCTTCCAGTGGACCTTCCGGCTGTCCAGGCCCTTGGCAAGCTCAGCGGCTGCGCCTCCATCCTGGACACCTCGTGGGGGGAAGCTGCCACCACAGAAGGAAGGGGCAGGAGCCCCAGCCCGGCCCTCCCTGCGGGGAGGGACACGGTCCCATGGAGATAAAGTCCCCTCTGCAGCAAAAGGACCGCCCGCCCCGTTATAGAAAGCCCTCATTAGCCTCCCTTGGCTCTCAGGCCACACCCGCACCCAGGAGGCCTCTGGCACTAATGAGGGGGTACAGGGTGTCTTCATTGTCCAGCCCACACCCACCATCTGTCTGTGCCCAGGGCCTCCCGGGAGGCTGGGCAGGGTTGGATGAGGCAGACTTCCTCCCTGGGCCGGCATCCCGATCCGATCAGGGTGGAGTCCTGGGGCTGGTGACGGCTTCTCAGAAGCCCTGAGGGTTTGTTCTTTCGGGGGGGGGGGGGGCGGGATAGAAACTCTGTTGGGGGGGCTCTGACGACTGCAGTTCTGACCAGGCCCCCTCCAGGCAGGAAGCGGGAAGCAGGCAGGGCCGAGCGGAAGGTGTGCCCAGAGCCTCCTGCTCTTTCCTGAGCAGGCTGAGTGCGGTGGGAGGGCCTCAGATGCGGGGAGCCCCCCGAAGGAGAGGGAAGCCAGGCCCACTGTGGGAGCCCTGGGGGCGGGCGAACCGGAAGACCCAGCCTGTGGGGGCGCCTGGTCCTCCTCGCGCCCCCAGCGCAGAAGGCTGCACAGGCCTGGGAGGGAGAATAGACTTTCTCTGGCAACTGAGTTCCCTTGTTCTAGGACCCTAGCTGGTCACTCGGCTGCCCCTGTATCATGCACTGCCAGACATGCAGCCAGCCCTCCCAGGGCTCCAGAACTAACCGGCCCAGCCCCTCCGGGAGGAAGGGCAGGGATCGCAGGTGGTCCCCAGGGAGACGCCCTTCCGCAGCTGGTCCAGGGAGGGAGGCGGGACCGTCAGGGACCACGCCTTCCATGTGTCCACAGGTCCTAACATTAGAAGAAGCTCTGACTTTGGCCAGTCACTTAACTTCTCTGGGCCCCTTCTGCAAATGATGGGCATGTATTAGCATATCAGCCGCTCTACATCCCACGGTCATCATGGGATCGAAGGCGTGACTTCACTGGCGTTAACAAACGTTCACGGAATGTCCACCAGGCACCGGCCCTGCAGGGTGCTGTGGGCGAGGTCCGTGCCTTGTTGCCCGTGTCGCAGCAGCCGCAGGTCTCAGACGGTGCGACCGAAACACAGCAGGGGAACCGGGCGGGAGAGGTGCATTCTGCCTGGGGTGGGGCAGCTGGAACCCTGGGAAGTAGGCAGTGCTGAGATGCCAGGAGTCGCACAACCCTCTGAAACACTGTCTCGGTCGTGAAGGCTGTTGTCACCGTCCCCTGAGGGGAAAGGGGCAGCTCTGTGCCCCAGGTGCTTCCAGACTTGGCTCTGCCACTCTGTGGCAGCGTGACCTTGAGCAAGTCACTGAGCCCAGCTGAGCCTCCGGGTCTGCGTGTGTGTAGTTGGGATAACAATGTTTACTAGCAAGATTGTTGTGAGGATGAACTCAGACAAGATGTGACAGTGCTCTGTTTAGAAAGAAGGAGGAGGGAGCGGAGAAGGAGAAAGAGGAGAAGAAGGAAAAAGAGGAGGAGGAGAAGGAGGACAAGAAGGAAGAGAAGGAGGAGAACAGGTAAAAGGAGAAGGAGGAGAAGGAAGAAATGAAGGAAAAAGAGGAGGAGGAGGAGAAGGAGGAGGAGAACAAGAGGATGAAGGAGGAAGAGGAGGAGGAGGAGGATGAGGAGAAGGAGAACAAGAAGGAGAAGGCGGAGGAGGAGGAGGAGAAGGAGGAGGAGAACAAGAAGATGAAGGAGGAAGAGGAGAAGGAGGAGGAGGAGGAGAAGGAGAAGGCGGAGGAGGAGGAGGAGAAGGAGATGGGTTAAAAGGAAAGAACTAAAGGTGTCATCCAGGCATCTGAGCGTCACTCCTCCACCTGTGAACAAGGCTGAGGACGCCTGCCCTGTCCCCTCACAGGCTCTCATGAGCAGGAATGAGACAATGATATGCAGCTATCTGCAAATACACATGCAATGCACATGTGTGGGATTATTGCTGTTGGTATTATTGTTACAGTACAAGGGGATTATATGTTTTATCAGAGTATGATAATTACTGTTTGTCATCAGCTCCATAAAGTCCACCAGCTCAGCCGTCTGCTTGGCTGGAGGGGCAGGGTGCCCTCATCCTGACCTCTCTCCTCCTGTCCCCACAGTGCCACCCGATGACCCCGTCATCCTTGGTGGGCCCGTGATCAGCCTGCGGGCAGGGGACCCCCTCAACCTCACCTGCCACGCAGACAATGCCAAGCCTGCGGCTTCCATCATCTGGTTGCGGAAGGGAGAGGTCATCAACGGGGCCACCTACTCCAAGGTGAGGTCTGGGGGCAGAAGGACAGGAGGGGCCAGCGGGGGGGGGGGGCTGCATGGGGAGGGGTCCAGCTGTCCTGTCTCTATGTGTCTGTCCTGTCACTTTGGTTTCTCCCTCTTTGTCTGTCTCTGTCTTTCTCTCTTACTCAGTGTCTCTCTTCCTCTCTCTCTCTCCTGGGGTAATTGCTGAGCTCGATAAAAACCCTAAGAATAGAGGATGGTCAGAGAAGGAGCCTGAGGACAGAGGTGGCCGGGGCCCAGAGTTGCCCCGTTACATTTGAATTTCAGTCAAACAACAAACAATAACTTTTCCCTGTAAGAATGTCCTCGACAGTGCATGGTGTATACTTACATGAACAAGTTATTCATTGTTCCCCTGCAATTCCGTTTTCACTGAGAGCCTGTGTTTCTGTCTGCTAAGTAGGCCCCTCTTTCCAGGACGGCCAGGTCCCACTGGTAGGTGCCAGGGGCCAGGGAGGGCTGAAACCCTCAGCAGGCCCTACGCCCTGCTCTGCCTGCCCCCGGGGTGCTGTGCTCGAGTTCACACGGGGGTCCTTCCATGAGCCGCCAGTGCCCTGGACTGGCCCGTGTCTGCCTGTTCTGAACGTTACGATGCTTCGACCTCTACAAGCCTGTGAGGAGGCCCGGCCCTTCCCAGGTTAGCTAGTTCCTGAGACTTGCGGAGAACGTGCAAGCCAAGCCCTCCCCACCTGTGCTCACTGCGCAGTCCTCCAGCCCTAAACGACAGGGGCCAGGTACTGGGGGGCTGCACCACCCACAGCCTCGGCCTGCAGGCCGGCTGGAGGTGCCCAGTCCTGAGCTTCTTCAACCGCGTGCCCAGCCTCGGCCCGGGAACCACAATAAAGGCTGCACCCTGGCCTTCTCCCGCTCCCTCCGCCCCCACAGACCCGGGGCTGCACCCTGGCCTTCTCCCGCTCCCTCTGCCCCCCACAGACCCGGGGCTGCACCCTGGCTTCTCCCCCTCTGCCCCCCACAGACCCTGGGCTGCACCCTGGCCTTCTCCCGCCCCCTCTGCCCCCCACAGACCCGGGGCTGCACCCTGGCTTCTCCCCCTCTGCCCCCCACAGACCCTGGGCTGCACCCTGGCCTTCTCCCGCTCCCTCCGCCCCCCACAGACCCGGGGCTGCACCCTGGCTCCCCCCCTGCCCCCTTCCCACAGACCCTGGGCTGCACCCTGGCCTTCTCCCGCTCCCTCCGCCCTCCACAGACCCGGGACTGCACCCTGTCTCCCCCCCCCCCCCCCGCCCCCCCACAGACCCTGGGCTGCACCCTGGCCTCTCCCTCTCCCTCTGACCCCCACATACGGGGCGCCCTGCAGCGCCCCCTTCTGGGTGCTGTGAGTAGCAGACCGCCTTTTCCATGGCAGCTGGCCCAGATCTGTTGGCCTGGCCCTACCCGAACAAAAACAAAATCCCGGGTTCACTTCCAAACAGCGCCCCAGCCCCCGCGGAAGGAGACTAAGTGCGCTCACTAGGCCCTGGACTACAGAGCCTGTAAAGACGTGCGGGACCGGAAGGACCGGGGCTGACGAGGGAGGGGCCGCCCTGCTCAGGGGACAGCTGGGCAGAAACCACGGTCTCCTTCCCGTGAGCCCCTCTGGCCTCAGTCAGCTGAGCAGCTGCTCAGAGGCTGCACCAGGGCCTCGGGCCAGCCAGCACCCCAACTCTGCAGCTGGAGGTTCCGGCCTCCAGCACCCACTCTCCTCTCCTCTCCTCATGGCCTCAGAGGGGGAGGTACACCGCCTGCTCCCCACTCCCAACCCTGGCTCCTCTAGCAGGGTCCTTAGAAAGCTAAGCAAAGCCTTCACCATCAGAGGACCAGGTGTCTCTGAGGCCGTGTCCTTCCTGTCCAAAGCAGAGTCAACCCCAGGGCTGCTGATCAAGGTCCCCACCCAGAGCCTGGGGCCAGAAGCCAGGATTAAGCCTTTCTTGGGGTACCATGCAGAGGAAAGCCGCCTATGGAGAGGCGAGCCCGCACTCGCATCCCAGCCGGAGCCACCTGCTGTGCATGAAAAGGGAAGGGTGTTCCTTCCAGCCTGGGCATCTGTCCAGTCCCACCCTGGTCCCTGCCAAGATTTCTGTCTCGCAGGGGACACACCCCCATCTGGCCAAGAGAAAGATCAGTGACCTTGCGGGACTGTGCAGGGTCCCCTGCCCCCTTGCTGGCACCATGCTACTGCAGGGAGGCCATGCTCCACCCCTGCCCAACAACCTGGTCACACTCTTACTGGCCTGTGACAGGAATGACTGCACCAAGCAGCAGAGGCCTGGGTTCCAGTCCCTGCTCTGTGCACCCCCAGGAAAGTCATTCCCTGGGCCTCAGTTTCCTCATCTGTAAAACAAAGGGGCTGGACCAGACACTCTGTATTAGTTTGCTAGGGCTGCCAAAACAAGTACCACGGACCGGTGGCTTAAACGACAGACATTTCTTTTCTCACAGTCTGGAAGCTGGAAGTCCAAGGCCAAGGTGCCGGCAGCGTTGGTGCTGGTGAGACCGTCTTCCCGGCTCACAGATGCACCTTCTCGCTCTGTCCTCACATGGCCTCTCCTCTCCCTCTTCTCATAAGGGCACCAATCCTACCGGATCAGGCCCCACCCCTATGACCTCATTTAACCTTACCTACCTCCTTGAAGGCCCTGTCTCCACATATCCTCAAGGTGCAGAATCGGGGCTTCACTGTATGAATCCTGGGGGGACATAATTCAGTTCGTAAGTGTCTTCCAGCTCTGACAAGCTCTGAACTGGTAACCTGGAGCCCACGGAGAAGGGTGGGTGGGCCAGCAGGGCTCTCGGGCCCACCCCTCTGCCCCTCCTCCCCCAGGACTGCATGGACCAATCACACAGGCGCTTTGGAGGTCCTGAAGGCAGAGCAGCCCAGACAGGCTGTGCTTGAGGAGGGGCCGGGGCACGAGCCACTGAGACAGAGGCTGAGAGAGCACACAGCACACACGCAGTCAGGGGGTCCCGGGTCCTCCAAAAAGACCCTGCAGGCAGCCCTAACAGCCTTCAGCGTTGCCACATAGGTGTCCCAGTGGGCCTGGGAGCTGGGCAGCCTCCATTTGAAGCTAGGCTTTGCCACCTTCTCCCTGTGACCGTGGGCAAGCTCCTCACCTTGTTGTGCCTCAGTGTCCCCTTCTGTACAATGGGAACAACACCAGCGCCTGTCTCAAAGGATGGTCATGAGGTTTGAACGCGAAGGGCATCTGTCAGAGTGAGCCCATGATGTACATGGCTGTTGGGGTCACTGCCCCCTTGATCCTCACAGGCAACAAGGGTCCCCCTGCACCCACATTTCCTAGGTGAGAATGTCAGGGTCATATAGCAGGCCTGTGGTCCTCAGACCTGGGTTCAATCTGAGTTCCATCCCATTTTATGGCAACTGAAGCTCTCTGCCTCAGTTTCCCCAGCTACAAAATGGCACGATGACAACCACAGGCACCTGTGAAGACTGCGGTGCGACTGTAAAGGGTGTAAAGGGCCTGCGTACTGAACGCAGCCTGCAAAGGGCCTCGCCAAGGGTAGTTAGCATTATTGGGCCCAGAGCCCTGCCGCGCCCACCCAGTGCTCCGTAGAAGTCACGCGGCAGCCCTGGTTTCATGGAACATCCTTCCTGCTATTTCACCACGTGGCCAGCAGGGGACGGGTGAGCTGGTAGGACTGAGGACGGCAACCCCCGAGGATGGCCAAGGCCTCTGTCCTGGGAGGAGAATCGCCCAGCACCGGCCGGCGGTGCCTCGCCTCACTCTGCCTCCAGAGCCCCGGCCGGGGTGCTTGGGCGAGCAAGGCCCAGGGCTCCCAGCGGCTGTCTGGCAGCAGAAACACTAGAGCGGACTGCAAGTCCTCTCCACGGCCTCTTCCTGGGCACCCAGCCTTGGGCCATCTTCTCTGGGTCTGGCACCAGAACCATCCACGAACCAGGGTGGGCAGAACTGGCTATGGCAGAAGAGAAGACCGTGCGGGCGGAGCCCAGAGAGAGAGCCTCCCAGGGAGCCAGGGTCCCGCTCCATCTGCTTCTTCACAAGCAGCTGCCGGGTGCAGGGTTGAGGCCTTGACCCTGGAGAGGTGTTGGGTCTCAGCACGGTGGGGTATATACCTACTTTAAAGCCCCTCCCCCTCCAGCCCTACCCTCCTGCTCCCTGTCCAAGGGGCCGCGCACCGCCAGGCCCGTGGGTCTCTCTGGGCCCATGCCAGGAGCAGCTCTGGAATCACACCCCCTTCGCTGGGCCCGACTGCTGCCCCCAGCCCCTCTCCCCTCCAGGCACCCAGCATCCCCCACCCCATCTGTCTGTCTTGGGGGCCAGCGTCCCCAGGCAGTGCAGCACCCACCACTCATCCTGACCGTCTTTGTGAGGGGCACCCCTCCCGGCCAGGCACAGTACGGGTCCCTGAGAATGCAGGTCTCCACCTTCCCTGACATCCTGTGCAACTGGCCCGAGCGGATTCCCCAGGCAACAGTAAGAGAGGAAGCACAGAGAGAGGATTTTTAAGAAAAACAGCAGGTAGGGGAGGTGGGTGAAGAAGGGAGAGAAGGAGGCCTTGTTGCCAGGCAGGTGGGTCTCCTGGAGGCCCCCCAAGGCATCTGCCCCAGTGATCATCCCCCGTTGCACAGGTGCTGGGTCCCACCCACTGCATTTGCTCCAGGCCTCCACCCCCTCCCCTGGGTTCCACCCACTGCATTCCCTCCAGGCCTCCACCCCCTCCCCTGGGTCCCACCCACTGCATTTGCTCCAGGCCTCCACCCCCTCCCCTGGGTTCCACCCACTGCATTCCCTCCAGGCCTCCACCCCCTCCCCTGGGTCCTCACTGCATTCCCTCCAGGCCTCCACCCCCTCCCCTGGGTCCCCACTGCATTCCCTCCAGGCCTCCACCCCCTCCCCTGGGTCCCCACTGCATTCCCTCCAGGCCTCCACCCCCTCCCCTGGGTCCCCACTGCATTCCCTCCAGGCCTCCACCCCCTCCCCTGGGTCCTCACTGCATTCCCTCCAGGCCTCCACCCCCTTCCCTGGGTCCCCACTGCATTCCCTCCAGGCCTCCACCCCCTCCCCTGGGTCCCCACTGTATTCCCTCCAGGCCTCCACCCCCTCCCCTGGGTCCCACCCACTGCATTCCCTCCAGGCCTCCACCCCCTCCCCTGGGTCCCCACTGCATTCCCTCCAGGCCTCCACCCCCTCCCCTGGGTCCTCTCTGCATTCCCTCCAGGCCTCCACCCCCTCCCCTGGGTCCTCACTGCATTCCCTCCAGGCCTCCAGCCCCTCCCCTGGGTCCTCACTGCATTCCCTCCAGGCCTCCACCCCCTCCCCTGGGTCCCCATTGCAGGCATTGCCAGGCTTCCCATCTCTTGGGCTCGGCCTGGCTTTTCACGGCCCAGCTGAGGCCCAGGGGCTTTGGAGAGAGGAGAGCAGCCACCGCTGCCCACACTGGACATGCATTCTGTCCCTGGCCAGCCCAGCCTCCAGGGCCACTGCCAATTGAAGGTCAAGTGCCTGCCCTCAGGGTGGGGCCGTGGGGCACAGACAGGAAAAAGCACCCAGCAGGCAGGGCTTAGAGGTGAGCCCCAGACCTCACACAGCCACTGGGACAGTCCGAAAGCTCCTCAGCTGCAGACAGGGGCCGGAAGCCCCTCCATGAAGGCAGCCGCTCTGGCACACTCACCCCTGTACACGGCCATGTACACGCCCCAGCCCAGGACATACCTGCACACGGGTGCCCTGGGCCTGATGGACCTGAGAGCTGCCCTCACGTGGGGCGGCCTGGGCTGGGGTCTGGCTGCACGCAGGTGCCACCAAGCTGGAGGGAGGGCGGCCCCAGGCCTTGGAAGTAGTAGCCCCAGAACCAAGACTCACCATTAAAAATTCACTGGATGAGCGATTTGCATACTAAGTAAGGTTTCTGAAATAGCATCAGGGGTGGGGGCTGGGGCCCCAGTGTGTCCCTAGGGCCCAGTTCCGTGAAGGGAAGCAGCTGGGAGGGAAGTAGTGGGGCTGTGACAAGAATCAGCAAACGACAGGTTCGACCAGGCTGGTACCTTCAAGGCCACGAAGTCCAAAGTTCCCATTTGCAGGCGCGTGAAGGGGAGGTCTGTAAGAGAGAGGAGCGGTGAGAAGATTAGGAAGGAGTGCGGAAGGGAGACAGCAGGGTGAGACCAGGAAGGCCAGGCTGGAGCAGAAAGGCCCTCACCCAAAAGCCCAGCTTTCTCCGAGGGCAGGGCCGGTCTCACTGGCTTTCTGGGCCTCCCTCCCCCGGGACAGCCCAGGCCTGCAGATCTGGCCCTTCCCTGGGCTGCACCCAGGGCCAGGGGCCCTGCCGAAAGCCTGCCTTCCCCCGTGTAATGAACACATCTCCTTTTCCTCTAATTAGGTGGAACAAACAGCTTGAACTAGAATTTTTATTTCCCAGAAAAGCACACAGTAAATATGTCATTAATCATCATTCTGGGGCAGAGGTTGGGAGGCGGGAGGCAGTCCCGGGCCTCATTAGGAGTGCAGGCCTCCTGGCTCCCTCCCTCCAGCCCCAGAGGGCCCAGCCCCTCCGCCCAAAGAGCAGATCAGCCAGGGGCCCCTGGCAGTCAGACTTATGTAAATGCCCCTCGTTAGCACAGTGGAAAAGTAAAGGGAGGGGGTTAGTATGGATCTCCCTCCCCGTTCTCCCCTGCACAGACATACTCCATCCCGGTTTTTTCTTCATCCAGGAAATTGTTCTTATTATCCCTTGGCTATTTATAGCCACAGGAGGTCTGTGTGCTCTGTGGTGGGGCTGCAACACCTTCCACTAGGGATTGACGGGGGCTCAACCTCGGTGCCTGTGGCTGGGCAGGTCCCTGTGCCGGCCTCCATCCAGTTCCTGCCCTGGCCCTGAGCCTGCTCCCACACTGCCCCGCAGCTGGCCTGGACCACCGCATCCCTCTCCCCAGGGCTGAGACCACCACCCCATCACACCCAGGGAAGGCCTCTAGCCACCAGCACCTGCCTAAGCCCAGGCAGTTTTCCAGACCCGGGAGAAACAGTGCAGATGGCGGCCCTGCCGGGAATCTCTGGCATCTCAGAGTCTGGCTTTGTGTACGTGGGATGTGCGGACCTAGACAGAGGCGCAGGCCACGTTCTGGGGCTGGAGGCCACAAGCTCCGCCCCAGCTGAGAAGGACCCAGAGAGGGTTCCAGCAGCCTTGGCTCAGTGACCTTGGAGGCTGCGTAATGGTTCTAACTGTTCCCACTTTTAAGTGGAGATCACACCAATCTCCTCCCAGCTCTCGGGGAGCTGTGGTAGGAGGGTCTGTGCAAATCCCAGCCCTGTCCAGCAAGTTCCTGGCTCACTTCGAACTCAGTTTTCTCTTCTGCTAAACAGAAACAATGCTCCCTGCCTCCCAGGGTCTGGTGGTTATTCTGAAGGAGCTTTTGAGAAAGGAAAGTCTGTTATTCTGTTCCCTGGCTCTAATCAAGGCAAATAAGACTGTGTCTGCCCCCACTTTCTGGAGGGAGTTAAGTCCCTTCCCAGAATCAGCATCTCCGAGGACTGACTGGGTCCCACCTCGGGAGTGGCCCTCCTGCCCGGCACCCACCTTAGTGGGTCACCAGTGGGTTCAGCTCCCAGGGCACCAAACGGACGGGCAGGGCACTGAAAAGGGGCGCAGGGGAGGGACAGTGGCCGACTCGCTGCAGAATGACCTCATGGTCCTGCGCAGACGAAGGAATGCAAGACGGAGACCCAAGGCCGTAGGACTGGTGTCAGTTTCCTAGGGCTGCCCTGACAGAGGACTTCAGCCCGCCTAACACACCTGAGGTTCACTGTCGCACAGTGTGGAGACCACGGTCTGCACTCGAGGTGCAGAGAGGGCTGTGCTCACTCGGGAAGCGGAGAAGCCCCCGCACCTCCCCCGGCTCCTGGCGGCTCCTGGCCCTCCCCTCTGTGGCACCGCTACCTCACGTGGCCGTCTGTCTCTCCGTGTCTCCTCTTCTTGCAAGGATCCCAGACATTGGGTTTAGGGCCCATTCTAAATCCAGGAGGATCTTGTCTCCAGATCCTCAACGACACTCGATTCTGGAACTTAGTTCACTCTGGAAAACTGCTGGAAATGGAAGCATTTTTTTCCTCATGAAAAATAATGTAAATTGAATTCATCCATTCCAGACCCCCACATGATTCCATTTTAACCTTTCTTATATACAGTGCATGCCTAATGTACGGTTTAATCTGTAAATGAACACGTTAAAAACAAAAAGGACATGAAATGTAAATGAACATTTAAGAAAAAGGAAATGAAATGGACAGTAACAACTGAAAATTTAAGGGTAAGCAGCAAAAAAAACCCAAGAACACGAAAATATTCACAGCACAACTTCCTGAGCTGTTGACAGTGGTAAACTGACTCGTGCTCCTTGTCTCCTCTGTCCGTCACCTGAGAGACACACAACTGATCACACAGGAGTCAGCACAAAAGGGTTGTCGGGCCGAGAAGCGAATTGTTCGAGGTCTGACTGTAATCACTAATTACTTAGCTCATCTGTGAAGACCCTGATTCCAAATAAGCTCACATTCCAAGGTTCCAGGCAGACGTGAACTTTGGGGGACGCTACTGAACCCACAACAGGACCCTTACTTATTTCACCTGCACCTGGAAGTGTGTGCTCGAGCTCCAGGCCTCCGTGGTCTCACCTGTGGTCTCGCCCGTGGTCTCACCCGTGGCCTCACCCGTGGCCTCACCCGTGGTCTCACCCGTGGTCTCACCTGTCCCATGGCAGACAGGGTGTCTGCTCTGCCTAGAACTTGGTCAGGGCTCGAATGGGGTCAGGAAGTGAAATGATTTGAAAAGTTGAAAGGGTTTACGTAAATAACGTGACAAAGCCGGTCAGTGTGCATCCCCCCTGCGGCCTGCCCTCACCCGCAGTCCCCAAACCGCTCCTGTCTGCAGACCACTCTCAGCGACGGGACAACAGACTGCCTGTCGCTCACATCCCAGAGCTTCCTGCAGACCCAGAGGCCCCGACACGGAAGGCCAATGGATGGGAATTTCTATGTAGGACTTGCAGCCTAGCTTCCATTAAGCCCAGCCTGAGTTCCTTCATAATTTGGGATCTGCATGTCCAGGCTAATTTTCACGCATGATGAGAAGCTTTCTAGTTCCTTTTTTTAAAAAATTTTTCTCTATTGATTTTAGAGAAAGAGGAAAGAAGAGGGAGAGAGAGCTAGAAACATCAATGAGAGAGAACATCGATTGGCCGCCTCCTGCATGCCCCCCACCAGGGATCAGGCTCACAACCTGGGCATGTGGCCTGACTGGGAATCAAACTGGCGACCTCTTGGTGCATGGGTCAATGCTCAACTACTGAGCCACACCGGCCGGGCTCCTTTATCCTTCTGCAGCCCAGCACTTGGCCAGACCGGGTAGCCGAGGTAACCCCAGCTCTGCACAGAGACGGGCACCCTGGGGTCCCGCGCGGCCTGCTTCCATGCACAGGGTTCTCTCTTCCTGTAGCTGCTCAGGCCATCCCCGCCGAGTGACATGGGCCTTTTCTCCCACCCCAGACTCTGCTTCGTGACGGCAAGCGAGAGAGCATCGTGAGCACCCTCTTCATCTCCCCTGGAGACGTGGAGAACGGGCAGAGCATCGTGTGCCGAGCCACCAACAAAGCCATCCCCGGGGGCAAGGAGACCTCGGTCACCATCGACATCCAGCGTGAGTACTGACCAGCCTGGGCACTGAGGAAACCACCCACACCCCCGCCTGGGGCACAGGTGTTGGGAGGGACTAGGCCTGGACACCCAGCTCAGCAGAGCCCCACCCCAGCCCCTCAGCCTCCCTCCCTGCAGGGCAACAGGTCGGGCAGCTCTGTGGACTGAATCTGCGGGCCCCCAAAAGGCCAGCGTGTCCTTATTGTCGGGTGAAGTGAAAACATCCCAGATAAGCGTCCTTGGCAGTGACAGGCTGAAGCCGCATCACTGCACCTGCGCACGGTAGAACTTCCACCCCAATAAATGTCGTCTGGTCGCCCCGGCCCTGCCTCGCCAGGGCCCCACACAGGCCCTTGGAGGAGAAGCCGCAGCAGAGCTGCTGGGAGCTGAAGCCCTCGGGGTTTAGACCTGGTGAGCAGAACCATCCCTTCTAGGGGCTCTCGTGGAAGGCTCGGTCAAGGACAGAAGAGAAACAGGCATCAGTCCGTACTTGGCATGTATTATCTCATTTAATCTGTGCAGCAACCATTTGGAGTAGGTATGACTGTGGCCCCTATCTGGGAAACTGAGGCCCCCAAGGGCTGATTAGTTTGCCCAAGGACACAGAGGTTTCTAATGTAGGCCGCCTAGCTTTGCAGGGCCTGCGTGGGTAACCCCTCTTCTGTGCTTCCGCATGATGGGCCTCAGTGAGCTCCAGTTGTTACAGTTAATATTAACAACCACGATGCTGCAAAGCTGCATCAGCACCACATTCTAAAAGTCACCCCGAGGAGACTCCTAAAGGTCCCCCGAAGGGCCGCTCAGTCCCAGAGAACAGAGGCCTCGGCGAGGCTGTCCAGCGGCCCGCTCTCGGCTCTGGGCCAGGGTAGGCTTGAGCAGTCCGCACAGAAAGCCACTGTTCTGGTCCTGCGCGTCCTCTCCGCCAGGGAGCATGGTGCCCGCGTGCCGGTGGCCGCTTCCGTCCCAGGCTCTGAGTGAGAGGCCAGAGCTGCAGGATGACTTCCCTTTCCTCCCCATCACTGTGCTCGTTCTAAATCAAATTCATCGAAAACAGCCCTGGCTCCCCTGAGGCTTCTGGACCCTGTTCCTCACGGCTCCGGGGCTCTGTGTCCTGGGGTTTCGTGACCCGCCTCGGGCGAGAGCAGACGTCCCGCTCGGTCTGGAGGCCTGCAGAGGCCGTGGACACTCCAGAGGGCGGAAGAAACGTCCTAACTGGGAAAGTTTTATCTTCGCCGTCTTCATCAACTGTTGCCCAGCCTGTGCCAAGCGGAGGGTTTTCATTCATTCCTCACCAGTGAGAGCCAAGAAGAGCAAGCAGGGCGGTGGGGGGGGGGGGGAGGCGCTGGCTCTGAGGGTCCTGCAAGTTCAAAGGGCAGCCTGAAAGGGGTCCTCCTCCCCTGGCCCTCACCCAGGGCCTGGCTCCCCACACCCACCTGCTTCTGGGCAGCAAAGCGCCGTGGGCATCGCCTCGGCCACCCAGGAGCTGGGCGCGCTCGCTGCTCGGCCCAGGGATCCAGTTCCTCATCTGACGGCACTGAGTGACATCTGAGCTCCCTTCCTGCCCTGGGATTGACCACGAATCTGAGCTCTCTCCAGACACACGCCAAGCTTGGGAGGCATGAGGGTGGGAGGCCTGAGACAGCCGAGCTGCCAGCTGTGGCGGCGGCGGCGCGCCCCCCCCCCCCCCCGCCCCCGTCCCCAGCCTGGTCAGGAGGCCTGCGCCAGCCATGAATCCTGCACAGAAGAAACCACGTGCTTGGCTCCCAGGGCGCGGCCGGGCCCTGCCAGGGAGACCCTGGAGAAGCCTGCTTCTGCTCCAGACCAGGTGCATCCCACCAGGATAACCCGCACGGCCCGCCGACTACTAAAAGCCATTGCCCCAAATGCACTCTGCTGAGATCGATGTCCCAGAGGACACGGATGACAGTCTGCACCAGAGGAGCACGGCAGCCTTGCCAGGTCTCTGGGCCTGGCTGCCTCTCTCTCCAAGGGCATCAGCCACAGGAGGAGGTGTCAGGAATGAGGTCAGAATGAGGCTTAGAACCCGAGGCCTGGTTCCACCGGTCCGCCCACCCACGGAAGCACAGGGAAGGCCACCGCTCTGCCAAGGTTGACCTGGTTATTCAACCTCTTTGTGCCTCAGTTTCCTCATCTGGATACAGAGGTAATAATGCTTACCTCATAGGGTTGCTGTGAGATTAAATTAGTCAGATGATATCCCTAGCACAGTGCCTGGCACGTGGTAAGCTCTTCGTACCTGTTAGCTGTTGTTACTATGCACGGCCATGGGTGTGCGACCGCCCCCCCACAATGGGTCCCACAGCCCAGCAGGGGAGCGGTCTCCATCCATTGGTCCCCTCCCAAAAGTGTTTGCAAGGGTGTGCCAGGCGAAAGCACAGGCTCCCTGGACCCCTGGCCCCCTGCTCCCTCCCCACTCCAGGCATCCACTCGTTCATTCAGTAGGCGTCCGGCTGTTCACTGGGGCACCACGGGCTGGGTCGGAGCTGCCTTTGCAAACCTGCTCATTTTCTCAGTCAACCAAGAAGCATCCACACTCAGCAGAAGCACATGTGTTGTTTGTTTCCCTTGGTCTTTCTATGTTACCCAACGGAAGACAAAGCCCCCAGATTGAGTAATGGGAGAGAAAGCTCAACACCCCCAAAGTCTCACTACATCTGGACTCTGCATCCAGCTGCCAAGTTGCAAATGGATGTGTTATAAAATCACTAAGTCATGGAATTTCTCTCTTTTCCCACCCCCTCCTCCATGTAACGTTTCCCCTGAGCGGGTGCACAGACACCACACACACACACACACACACACACACACACACACACACACGTGCCTGCGTTGCTGATAGAAACGCTAACAGACTCTCAGCTGTAACATCTGTTCGATGTGAGCCCGGTTCCACCCGCTACATCAGAGCCGCCCTCTGCAAGCCATGCAGCTGACATCACGAGTGGGATGAGAACCATGTTTAATAGTCGGACACGACATAAACCATTTATGCCTCTGGAGCCTGGTCGGTGCCTGCAGATTCACACCCACATCCAGAGGGGAATGCCGGAGAGAGGGGCGCTTCCCAGGCCCCTGCTCCTGAGCTCCGGCAGGACAGCCGGGTGTCGAGGGCGTAGCTGGGAGGCGGGAAGCTGCGGGAGGTTCTCCCACAGGATAAACTGAGAATGGCAGGCGTGTGATGGAAGAGGGGCCCAGGCAGCTAGAAGGTCCCCATAGGAATGTGCTCCATCCCCCTGCTCCCCAAACCCATCATTTGACAAAGGTGGGGATGGGCCTCCCAGAATTGCCCCCTCAAGTTCTCTGTGGGGTTTCTAGATTCTGTCTAACTGGTACTATCACCTCCTCACACAAGAGTTGGATGGAGACATTCACTCCACCTCGCAGTACCGGTTCCGTAATGTGAGGACAGGAGCCAGCCACACATCAAGCCCAGATGGCGATGCTCTAATGCCTATCCCTCGGAACGTGCTTCTCCGACCCGCAGGGAGATGTGAGCTCCTCTGTGGTCTCCATGTCTCTGGGGGTGGCGCCAGCAGAGCCTCGGACCCCAGCTGGGCTGGCCAGCCCTGCGTGGGAAGAGGGCTGGGACTCCGGATTAGTCTGGCCCTGGAGCTGCTCGTCCCAGGCTGGGTGGGCTGCCGCTCACGTGATGGGCAGCAGCGGGGAGCAACTGCAGCTTCCTGGAGGTCACAGCTCTCGGGGAAGGTGGATGGAGAGGTCTCACGGCAAGCCCTTGCTGCATGCCCCTTTGTGACCACTTCAACTACACTTTACAACCTAAGCTGAGATCGCTGAAATACCTGTGACTTCCCTGGTAATTCTCCAGGAAAAGACAGGCAAGCCAGCTGTTCCAAGAGCAGATGCTCCAAGGATGGTGGTCCCATCAGGAGGGATAAAGTAGGACACAGGCCCCCGCAAAGTCGGCCACCTGCTGCTCAGGAACCCGTGTCTTAACAAGCTGTCTGCAGAAACCTGGCCTGGCCCAGCTTGAGCACCATGGTGCGGGGCAAAACGGGGCCCAGTGGTCAAATGGATCCCTCTCTGGGGAGCCAGGCTCCGTCTGCCGTTGGAGCTTCTCCACGGCCCTCGGAGGGGCTCCGAACCTCACCTGTCATTCCGAACAGGAGCCAGGCCAGGCAGGCTGGAGTCCTGCTCCCCTCCTGAGACCCTTCACACGCACCCAGATGGGTCAGCGTGTTTCCTCTTTACTTCTTGTTCTGAAAATGGCTGAACCCCTAGGAAGTCCTCATGAACCTTCCAGCAATTTGCTCCACTTATTGGTAGGGACTGGCCAGAGGCTGCCCAGGGCCAGGCCAGGCCGTGGGGACCACGCTGCCCTCTTAACTCACCCAGAGTTGAACTCCAGCCAGGCCTCACAACAGGACAGGAAGAGGGATGGGCACTGGCTGTCATCACCCCTCCAGGCCTGGGAGCCAGCACAGGCCCCGGAGCATGGGCACCCGCTTTTAGAGAGGGTCCCAAGCCAGCTGCCCCGAGCGCAGGGGGCCAGCAGCCTCCAGCCCTTCTCTGAGCCGCTTCTCCGCCTCTCCATTCTCTGTGGGTCCCCACACCCCGTCTCCACTTCCATCTCCGTATCTCAGGGTCTCTTTCTCCCTGTCTCTTTTCTCTACTCCTCATTATTTTGTCCGGTTTTCCTCCCCAGAACCCTGTCATTTTCTGTTTCTGTCTGCTTGGTCTTCTTGCTTTTAGTCTGAAATCTTTGTCTGATTAGGGTTCTCGGTGTATGTCAGTCTCTCTGTCTGTCCCCATCTCTCCTTCGTGGTGTTTCTCTGCTTTGTTTTCTTATTCTTCCTCTGCACCTCTCACCCCCCCCCCATGTCTCTCTCCCCTGTGGGTATCTGTCTGCCTGTCCACCATCCTTCCTGCACAGACCTCTCTGTGTCTCTCTGTCTCCGTTCTTGTCTCCCTGTGTCTCTCCCTCTCTCAGTCCCCTCCACCCCTCACCACCAAGCACTTTAGAGCTTCTCACCGTGTTGAAGGAGGAAGCCGGGGCCAGCCGGGAGCGGGATCTGGGGGGCCCCGACAAAACGCGGGAGACACCATCAGGCTGATGAAGGGTGTAACTGCCCCCTTCAAGTCCACGGAGGCACTGAGCCTGGACACAGAGATGTGAGACACACGTTTCGAAGACAGTGTGCATTTAATGGGTCCTAGTGTCCACTCCCCTCACGCCATTGTACCTGCCCCCCTTCTCCCCTCTGGAGTGTTCTGTTCTCCCGAAGAGCTGGAGGGTGGGCGGCCTGATCCTGGGACCGGGCAGCCCTACTTTCCGGTGGGCTGTTCATTTAAACACCAGGCTTTGAATCCACAGGGGGAGCCCTGCTGCAGACATCTCCAGGGAGTGGGGGAGCCCTTGCGGAAGCCCCCAACTTTCTGGGATCATTGGAGTGGTGGCTGCTCTGAGGGTCCCCAGGATCATGGGTGGTGGAAACTTGGCCTTTACCCTCCATGTCGCCGAGGGGGTCTTCCTGGGTCTTCCTGCCTCATTCTTCCCCCAAACCATGGACCCCGCTCCCCGGTCAACAAGAGACTCCCTTCTCTCTGCAGACCCCCCACTAGTCAACCTGTCGGTGGAGCCGCAGCCAGTGCTGGAGGACAACGTCGTCACCTTCCACTGCTCTGCGAAGGCCAACCCAGCTGTCACCCACTACAGGTAAGGGCCACGCCGAGGACGCACGGCCTGGCCGCTGGGCCCTCCACACCCCTGCCTGTCACGTGGGCTGTCGCCGTGGCCCTGGGCATGCGGCAGGGCGGGTTCAGTGTGGGCGCCCCGTCCTTCTCCGTGCCCCACCACTCCATCCATCCCTGGCCAGGCGAGCACCCCTTTCCTCCTGCCTTCTCCCCTCCGCCCGGGCCAGGTGGGGACGGTAGGCACCCCCTTCTGTCTGAATAGCTCGTCGACCCCTTGCTTCTGAACAGAGGGAGAGAGGCTCAGGGCAAACGTTAAAACAACCAGGGAACAGCAAGGTCAGCACCTGGATTCTAGTTTGTCACCCAACTGTTCACCTGGGTGGGGTGGGGTGTCTGGGACAGCTGGCCCTGCCCAGGGGGCCCCCGGGACTTTCACACCCCTGGCCTGAGCATCCCTTGCTCACAACACTGACCAGACATCACTACTCCTTACATGCTTGTCTTTCCCTGCTGACTGAGCCCCTCGGGGGCAAGCGCTGCAGCTGAGTGACACTGGCCTTCGGCCGGGCACGGGGTGCGGCTGTGCTGGTTCTCAGGCACAAACACACGACTGGCGGGCCGAACGCTCCGAGCTGCTCCTCCGGGTACCCTCCTGCCTGCACACCGCACGGGATATCCGGAGACGTGACCTCAGAGGTGCTCAAGGGCAGCCTCGGGCCTCGCCTGCTGGATCTCACCATGGCCTAACCTCGCCCCGTCCCTTCCCTCCCACCCAGACCTGATGGGGGCGCCCAGTGTTGCCTCTGCCATTGAAATGGGTTATTAAGCTGCAGCATCAGCCAGTAACAGAGACGCTAATGGTCTCAGAGTAGGAAACACGCTGGCCAGCGTGGGTGCAGGGCGGGAGACAGAGGGGCTGTGCAGCCCCAGAGGCAGAATCAGAGGTAATGGGCCAAAGAGCAGCCAGAGGTTCGGGCTGGACGTAGGGCAGTGCCCCCTGCAGTGCAGATAGGAAAACAGCATGGAGACCAGAAACCAGGAGAGACAGTCTTTGTCCTTGAGGATATTTTTAAATAGTAGGCAAACCCATCTGTCCTGTCCGGTTTAGCTGTCCACCGGGTTAGGGGATCCCTGGAGTCGAGCAGCCCAGGAGGTCCAGGGCCAGGGCGGGATTGGCTGGGACCCAGCATCTGCCTGGAAGGGACTAAAGATGCAGAAGGAAACACCCAGAGAGACCGTTTCTCTGGGCTCCGGCTCCGCACCTCCAGGCCCAGCTCCTGTCGACAAGGCTGACCTGTCCCTGCTGTCTGCTCCCTGCTCAAGGTCCCCAAACACCAGGCCCCACATACCCAGAAGATAACCCCTAATGCCAGTTTCACTGACAGCTCTTCATGCCACAGCCCACGGGACAGACACAGCCCACAGTGACCCTCACAGCGTCCCAGGGATGCTCGCTGGGCCTAAGAGACCAGCGCAGACCAGGTCCACCTCCCATTTCTCTGCACCGCTCGGCTCTGGGTCATCTGAGGACCTGGAGGCTGGGCAGAGGGCAGGGCTGTGCTCCAGGACACAACCTCACCCCCACCTCCACACCTGCCCTCCGACCAGCACAGGGCGAGCCAACACCCAAGAAACCCTCCCAAAAGCGCAGGACACCAGGGGTGCCGATGGTTACGAGGTGTAAGCGCACCCGCGAGACAGGACCCTGAAGCCCGCGCGGCTAGAGGGTCACACTGAGAGGAAAGGCGGCTCGTTGCACTATTCTTGCAACGTATCTGTAATTTCAAAGTCGTGTTTTTTAACTAAATGAACAAGCAATCAGAGACCATGCAGCCCTCCCTGGGCTCGGTCCTGAGGGTCACAGTCACAGGCACACCCCTCACACAGAGGAGGAGCTGTTGGGTGGGCCAGGTGGCCTCCTCGAAGGGGGGCACCTGCCCTTGCTTGTCACCTTCCCCATGGACTTCTAGCCAAAGGTCCTGAGAGCTCTTCAGAGTGGGTCGGGCTCCCTGCAGACCTCCCAAGAGCCAGCCGGCTTGGGAAAGAAGAGGGCGGAGGGCTGGGGGGGGGGGGGCCCTCCCACTGCCTCTCCGCCCGGCTTCAGGAGGTCTTGCCCGCAGGTCATTCCAGATGCCTCCTTGGGTCCGGGAGCAAAGCCTTAAACTGGCTTTGACAAGACTGCAGGGATCTGTGTCTCTTCCAGTCCTCCCGATGGCTTCCTGCTGTTCCACACGAGAGGCTGTGATCTCGGAAATTAGCCCCTGCCCTCCTCGCCCCAGCGCGCAGCAAGGGCCTGGGTGGGCACGGGGGCACATCTAACCAGGCTCAGCTCTCCCTTTGGCCGCCCCTGGGGACCGGAGCCTGGGTGAGAACAGGCCCCAATGCAGCCTGAAGTGTGTCTTCCGCCTGCTTCTCTGAGACGCCCTGGGTTACGAGGAGGGGGCGCCACCCATGTGAAACTTGGGGCTACTGGAGGACAGCCGGTGGGTTGCAACACACCAGACCCCTGATTCTGTGATACAGATAATTCAGCCTCTCATATTTGCTCAGGTCACCTTGATTGGGAGAGCTTATTACCCCAACTCCTGTGTCTGAGGGGCTGGGAGAAGCCGGGCGTAGGTGGGCGGTGGGAGGGTGAGGGGACACGACAAGAGCACCCCGAGAACCGAGAGGAGAAGAGAGAGCTGAGGAGGGCCGGGGCGGGGTCTGGCCCGCCGGTGCAGCCGCTGAGACAGGTGGCTCGGGGTTCTGGGAGGGATCCCCAGAGAGGGCTCTTGGTGTGGGAGGGGAATAAAGATGGGGAGAAGACTGGCCAGTGAGACGTGAGCAGGAGACTCCTTGGGGTCCCCACAAGCTCCGCCCCCACAGCCAGCTCCTGCGTGACCCTGGGAGAGGGCAGTCCAAGAATCTGTCGCACTCCCCACTCTGCCTGTGAGGCCGGGCTCAGACAGCACAGGTCGCTGGCGAAGACACCCCGAGCCGTGCGCTGCGCTCCAGGCCCGTGAGAGCCCCGCGGTTCTCCTGAACCCCTCAGAACCAAGGGGTACAGCTTCCAGCCTCCACGGCTTGTACAGTGAGGGGCCTGGACAGGGAGGGAGGAACCCCTGTGGGGATGGAAGAGCAGCAGCCCCCCCCCCCCCCCCAGCCCCAGCCTGGGCTCGGTCAGCGGCCAGGAGCAGGGTCTGGGCAGAGCCCGGGCAGCTGCCCGCCCTCCTCCCGGCCCAGCCAGCTGCTCGGACCCCACCCTGACCCCTCGCTTCAGCCGGGTGGGAGGTGTAGGGTTGAACGCTGCTCCCCAGCCGCGTGTCTGGAACTGAATTCATCCACCTCAGGCAGGGGCCATGCCGATTAAATCTAGTCATTAAATTAAAGCTAGAAGTTGAAGTGATTCATGAATAACTCATAATGGTGCACTGGGAAGCTCCTTAAGCTCTCAGGAAGCATGGTCTGCTCTGTTGTTAAACTATAATTGTTATTTATTAATCGTGTTCTTAATAAGTACCCGATATTAATTCACAGTAATAACCACATGGTGCCAGCCCGGGAGCCGCGGTGCTGAGAGATGGCCATCTCTGGGGCCCAGGGACGGGCGGGGCGGGAACCGACGGAGGGAAGGGCGGAAGGCGGGACGGCTCCCGGGAATGAGGAGGGGCGAAGGCAGGGCCAGCAGGGAGGCCGGGGTTACAGAGATCCCTGGTCACAGGGAGACCTGGTGGGGGCTGAAGACATGCACCCCGAAACAGGCTTGAACTGCAGGAGGAGCTGGGTGGGGGTTTGGGGTTTGAAGTGCGTGTTGTCCACAGTGGGATTAAACCAGGGGAAGCGATGAGCTCTCTTCCTGGAGACCTATAAGGAGCCCCCCACACCCCCACACTCTCACATTCCCTGGGGCTGCCAGCACCCGCCAGACAGGGGGTCACTCACGGGTCCACACCATGCCCTGCGCCCCAAGGCCAGGACGGAGCCTTTTGGTCTCATCCCTCTTCTGGCCCTGATTGGCCAGGTCGGTGGGCTGAGGAAGTCGGCACAGCCTTCTTCCTGCCTCCCTGACAAAGCAGGACACAGGAGCCAAGGCGCAGAGCCAGGGTGGGAGGGTGGGAGGGGGGCACTGTGAGGGCACCTGCTCTGGGGCCAGGAGTCAGGACAGGAGAGCTGAGGGAACTGGCTGGGAGGGCAGTGGGGCCCTGCGAACCCCTCTCCGGCAGCTTCCCACCTGGTCTGCAACTCAGGCTTCCTGGAGCCTCCTCTGTGTGTGCGCACGTGCCACCAGCCTCTGGGGCTGCAGACTCCGCCTCCTTTTCCAGCGCGCCAGGGAAGGGTCCCCGACAGAGCTCAGAGCAGGGAGCCAAGCCTTCTGCGGACTGTCGTGCTATAATTCATTGCCTGGCCAGCCAGGTGGGCTGACGGGCCGAACAGTCAACCCACCTCCTCCAGAATAGCCCACTGTCCAGGGTCACTGACCACCTGGCAACCCTCCGGCCAAAGCCTAGCCTGCACCGCCAGCTTCCCCCCAGCCCTGGAACCAACCCCGTGGGGAGTGTTCCCCTGGGGAGCCGCAGGGGCCTGCCCCAGGCCCCGGCCCAGCCTCCTTTCCCTGTGGGGTGGGTGTGTCAGCCCCCAGCGACAGCTTCCCGGACAGGAGGGACGCCCTTGCCACCAGAGGTCAGCCCAGCCTTCGCGCTGTGTTGCAGGTGGGCCAAGCGGGGCCAGACGATCAAGGAAGCCTCGGGAGAAGTGTACCGAACCACCGTGGACTACACCTACTTCTCCGAGCCGGTCTCCTGCGAGGTGACCAACGCCTTGGGCAGCACCAACACCAGCCGCACGGTCGACGTCTACTGTGAGTGCCACTGTGTGGCTCCGGCCTGGGTCGTCTGCGCTGACAGGGAGCCAGTGTGGGGGGCTCCCAGGTGGGCCGTGTGCACTGACGGGGAGCCAGTGCGGGGGGGCTCCTGGGTGGGCCGTGTGCACTGAGGGGAGACAGTGCGGGGCTCCCGGGCAGGCCGTGTGCACTGACGGGGAGCCAGTGCGGGGCTCCTGGGCGGGCTGTGTGCACTGAGGGGAGACAGTGCGGGGGGCTCCTGGGTGGGCTGTGTGCACTGAGGGGAGACAGTGCGGGGGGCTCCTGGGCAGGCCGTGTGCACTGACGGGGAGCCAGTGCGGGGCTCCCGGGCAGGCCGTGTGCACTGACGGGGAGCCAGTGCGGGGCTCCTGGGCGGGCTGTGTGCACTGAGGGGAGCCAGTGCGGGGCTCCTGGGCGGGCTGTGTGCACTGAGGGGAGACAGTGCGGGGGGCTCCCGGGCGGGCCGTGTGCACTGAGGGGAGCCAGTGTGCGACTCCCGGGCGGGCCGGGCCGTGTGTGCTGACGGGGAGCCAGTGTGGGGCTCCTGGGCGGGCCGTGTGCACTGAGGGGAGCCAGTGTGCGACTCCCGGGCGGGCCGGGCCGTGTGCGCTGACTGGAGCCAGTGCGGGGCTCACCGCACACAAGGGCAATGCCTCCCTCGCTCCTGGAGCTGTCCCTGTGCACAGAGCCTCACTGCCTCACCAGAGGCAGTGATTGTTCCCAGTGCCCCACGGAGGGGACAGGGGCCGAGGCTACACAGTGTGGAGGGGGCAGAATGAAACCCGAGACCCAGCTTGCACAACCCACTGCCCTGCTGTTCAGGGCTCACCGACGTCCCCTCCTCCCTGGTGGCCTGGGGGCGGCCTCCCAGCTGACTGGGCACCCACAGCAATAAACATTAGCGCCTCTACCGCCCTGCAGTGCGAAAGCATTTTCACAAACTTTCTCTGCGGCTGACCGGCTGACCGTCCTCTCCCCGGCAGCCTCCACGAGTACTGTGCTCCCTTCTGCATCAGGGGACGAGGCTGCACTGCTGACCCCAGTTTCCCCTTTTGCTCCCTGAAATCGGCTCTCCGGCCCCGCGCCTAAAGTTCACCACTGGGAACTCTGGGGACAGGCGTGGCCTGCAGGAGGCTCTGGGGAGGCGGCCAGGAGCCCTGCTCACCTCACCACTTAGCAGGGGTGTGGGCACAGCTGGGGTTGAAGAAGAGGCCGGAATGGGCTGGACAGAGGACAACCTGGGGGCAGAGGTGGCGGCACCAGAAAGCCACCTGGTCCAACGCCAGGAGGAGCCTGGGAGGCTCAGGAGGGGCCCGTTGTCTTGAAGGCAGAGATATGAAGATCCCTGGGCCCAAGGGGAAGGCCTCTGCCGCACCCTGGGAGGGGGCGCTTCCCGGGCCCAGGACCCAGGGAAGGGCGAGGCGAGCCCTGAGGGCGTGTCCAGGCACAGAAGGGGCCCGAAGGCCCTTCCTGGTGCGGGGTTCCTGCAGCGGCCCCGGGGAGGCCGGCGCCAGGAGGGCCTTTCCTGGCGTCCTGACCCCAGGCCCGGAGGGGCAGAGGCCCGGGGCGGGAGGGAACGGGCTGCAGTGGACTGAGGCCAGCACCCAGACGGGGGGAAGTGAGAAGCAGCGAAGAGGGTCCCCAGAACGCCCGGCCCACCAGAGCCCCGTCTCTCCCTTCCGCCCTCACAGTCGGGCCCCGGATGACGACGGAGCCACAGTCCCTGCTCGTGGACCTGGGCTCAGACGCTGTCTTCAGCTGTGCCTGGACTGGAAACCCGTCCCTGACCATCGTCTGGATGAAGCGAGGCTCTGGCGTGGTGAGTCCCGGGGAGCCTCTGGCGGGGTGGGGCCCGGGCCAGGGCAGCGGCCTCCCCGGCCCCTGCCACCCCTCTGTCGGGGTGTCGGCCTCCAGTGAGGGACAGGGACCCTGGAAGGTTCCCACACGCCCTCCTCAGCCCCTCACACGTGCAGCCACTATGGGTGTCCTGCCATGAACCTGGTAAGAGGCTGGTGGTCCCCACCGAGTCAAGGTGCCCTTCGGCCTCTGGGCCACGCTCCGCTCTCTTCCCGTGTTCCTCCTTAAACGCGCACGTTCTTCCATGCGCATCCGAGGCGGCCCCGGGAGGACCAGAGAGCCCGGGCAGGGCAGCGTCCCTGCGGCCAGCTCGGTGCCCGAGGCCGCCCTGCCCTGGGAGCTGAGCCCGGCGTAGGGCTCGGCAGGCAGCACAGGGAGGACCAGGAGCTGCCCAGAGCCTCACGGGTGGTCCAGCCAAGGCCACGGGCTGTTTTCTCTCCTTCGCCCCAAACCACACGCCAAAGGGACCCTGGAAATGACTCAGAAAAGGCCGGGACCCTCAGAGAAGCTCAGCTGTAGGGTCATTTCGCCTGTGGCCAGCCGGGAACAGGTCGGTGACCAGCCCCTCCGTGGGAGACGCCTCGGGGTGCAGCCAGGAGGTCCCCTCCTGCTCCGCACTCATCCACAGAGTCCTTCCTTGGTGTGTGGGCTCTCCCACACGCCGGCGCCATGAATAAACATCTGCCTCGTACCCCAGCCCTGGTTCACTGACATGCTGGAGACCCGTCTCTCAGACTCCGCTTCTGAGACAGAGAGTCACCCCAACTCTGTGCCTGATTCTCCCAGGTCCTGAGCAATGAAAAGACCCTGACCCTCAAAGCTGTCCGCCAAGAGGATGCTGGGAAGTACGTGTGCCGAGCGGTGGTGCCCCGGGTGGGGGCCGGGGAGCGAGAGGTGACCCTGACTGTCAATGGTAAGACCCCCTCCTGCCGGGCTGGGGGTGTGGGGCAGGGAGAGGGACCCAAGGGACGCCATCAGTTCTGGGCCTTGCCGTCACCTCCCGCTGTGGGTGCGTGGCTCTGATGTCCTCTCGTCGAGTCCAGGCCGGAGTTCGGTTCTGACCTGGAAAGGACCTGGGTGGTTTTCTGGTCACCTCTCTCCTTTTTTGTCTTCTGAAGGGTCTCAGCCCTAAGAACGGTAGCTGAGGAATTTGATCCTGGCCAGGAAAAAGGGTCAGAGGGTCGCTGGGCAGCCAAAACCACACCCGCCTTTAACCCTAACCTCGGCCCTGGCGGGGAGTTAGGAGTTACGGGCGGGTCTCTGGGCTCCTGATAGGCCTCTTCCCATTGCATAGAGCCACCCACCTGGCACCCCTGTCACATGGACAAGACCAGTGCCCTGGGGCCCCCGAAGGGGAGGGAAGGTGTCTTGTCGCAGATAATAAGAACAATGACAGCGGGGAGTTTCCGTGTCTCCCCCAGAACGCCGTGTGAGCTACTGGAGGCCTGTTGCACGGAGCATTTGGGGGGCAGGGCTGAGACCAGGCCTGGCTGACAGGGTGGAGACGGCCCTGGAGAAGCTGGGCCCCAGCTCAGGGCAGACCCAAGACGGCGTGGCCCCAGGACAGAGATTCTATGTCCCCACTGTGACGCGTGCCTGGCCATGATCAGGAGCCCGAGGTGGCTGAGGGGTGACAGGCACCAAGGCCAAGGCCGCCCGCTGCTTCCAGACATCCTCCCCTGGGCTCCTGGTGGCCGACCTCGTGTCTGCCATGCCCACGGCCCTTTGCAAGCCTCCTCCCACCGGGTCTGCCTGGCCCTCGGGAGGGGCCCAGCCCACTTCCAGAAATGTGCCCAGTCGGCTTCATCTCAGGAAGCCGCCCCCTGAAAGCCTCATCCTGCTCCCCCTTTGCTAGGAAACTGACCATCTTGGCGTTCCCTTAGCCAGGCCCCTCTGCTGTCTCCATGAGCCAGCCCCTCATCTGTTCCCTTTTCTCTCCCCTCCCAGAGTGGGGTGACCTACCCAGCCCCAAGTGCTCACAGGCCACCTGCCGCGGGCAGAACCCTGACTCAGGGGCCTTCCTGCCTTTCCTATGTGTCCCTAGCACACCACCAATAAATTGGCACCACAGGGCTAAAAATAACAGCATCCGATGGCACCTCGTATATCCATGGCAACACGGCTGCAGCCTTTCCCTGCCGCTCTGGGTCTGACACTCAGCTCAGGCTCCAGGCCCCGGTGAAATCTCGGCCACCCCGCCGCCAGCCCTCGGAGGGTGCTGGGCAGGGCCAGCCCATGACCACCGCAGCTCCGGTCCACTCGCCCGGGGACCAGCCAGTCTGGGGACTCACACAGGACTTCCAGGGTCCCCCAGCCTGAAGCTTTTTAAGGAGCAGCCTTGTTTCTGGGGTAGCGGGTGAATGAGGGAGGGGCTGACATTCCACGACCACTTGAGACATTCAGGAATTTCCCAGCAGAGATTTAAGTGGCGTGTTGAGGAGGGAACACGCATCATGGAAGGACATTCCTCTTGGATGGGACACCCCCGCCCGGGCCCTGGCGTCTGCCCAGGATTGAATCTGCTCCCTCCAGGGTCTGGCCCTCCACCCCCCTTTCCTGCCTCCAACCCTCTGCACAAACTCCCCTAGGTACCCAGGAGAATGCCCACGGGCTGGAAGTGAGCAAGGAAGTGGCTTGATTCTGCTGAACGAGGGTCCCCGTCCCTGGAGCAGGGGGTGGGGTACATGGCTGAGGGAGAGGAGCCTGCCAGTCCACCTGGGCATCTGAGGAGCAGGTGAGGGACGGTGCGGCCCTTTGCGAAGGGGCCTGAACGAGACCGAAGGATTTGACATTCTGCAGAGATCCAGAATGATGGGGTTTTCTTCCGAACAAATCCCAGCCGGCGGGGACGGCTGGGCGTCGCTCTCAGGATCACAGAGGTCGGCTGCAGGAAGGGGAGATGAGCCGTGTTCCTGCTGCTCTGTGACTTTCTGAGCCCCGTTCTGCCCCTATTCTGATTTCTGGTTTCTTTGAAAAAGGCCTTTAACACAGATGCGTCTGCCTGAGAATGCTCCGGGGAGTCCTCGCTCCTGGGAAGTGAGGGGAGGGAGGTGCTAGGGTTTCATCACCTGCACCCCAGCAGCAGAGCAAAGCTTGACCGAGTTCCTGAAACACTCAGCCCTCCTGCCTCTTGGCGCCGAGGGCCCCGCCCACTTGTACAGGCAGCCGAGTATGGGAGCCCTGCTCTTGTGGGGCCCCCACGGCTGCCTGACCCAGCTCCAAGCCATTTGCGTCCTAAGCTCAGAAAGTCACCTGAGTGTCTCCCAGTGGCTTTTCCCCTCTTGGCTGAGAGCTACTCATAGAAATGCAAATCTGGTTTAATTACGGTGGCTAATAAACAGCAATTATGTTTGCAGCAATTTTTGTTTTGTTCCCCATATAATGTTACCTGTCCTCAGATCCCTTTCTCTGCCTCCTGAGCCCTGGCCTTTACCCCAAGGATTGGGAAGGGGGCACAGGGGCCTCCACTCATGTACCCCTTGCGTCAGCTGCCCACCAGCCAGGACGTTGGCGGCACAAATGCCTGAACTCGCTGCTCCTCCATCCCCCCTAGTGTCCAGGAAGGAAAGACTTGGGGTGGATAACAGGCAGACTAGACCCGGACGAGACAGGGCGCACTGCTGGACGAGGCTGTCTGAGGCAGTAGCTGAGACAGGCACTCCAGGACCGCGACATGTCACACACACACAAGCAACACATGCACACACATGCACACACACGAAGGCACACACGCGGATTGGATGAGAAGATGCTGGGGCCATGGTCTCACCTGGGCCACCTGAGATCTCCTGAGATATGTGTGAGATGAAAGCTATGAACGTGCCCAGCACATTGCCCCTGTCCTGGGTGACGCTCCCACAGGTAGAACATCACCAGCCATTTCAAAACCCCAGATGCTCAGCCCTGCCCAGGACACCCGGTTTGTTAGGCAAGGGCTCCCTCTACTGGAGATATGAGAAAATGGCTTGAAATGGAACCGCTGGAAGGGTGGAGGTGCCCTATCCCTTCCTCCTGACAGCTCCCCGACCCCCTTCGTGGGCTGACCGCCTCCTTCATAAAGTGTTCCCTGTCGGCCAGGTAGAACTCCTCTCTCTCCTCTAGTCGGTTAGCACTTCATCTGTACGTTCCTGGGGTCCCAGGGCTCACTGCCTTCTATCACGGTTATTTATATTGTGGGGAGACGATCCCCCTTCCATCCCCTGGTTCTTTGGGCTGATTGAGTAATCAGATCGATCCGTGACAGATGAACGAGAGAAAATAACCGAATTGAATTGCACATGTACATATGGGGAGCCCACATACACGAGAGAGGGACAGAAAGTTAAAGTGAGGTGTGCGTGGCGTCTGAGCTAAGGGTGGGTAAGGCCCGTGGGGCCGCCGGGGAGGTCAGTGCAGGCCGATAGGAAAGGCAGATGTCCAGTAATTGGCAGTTTGCCCTGCTATATAGGTCGGTCAAAAATGTGACCTCTGATTTAAATTCTAATTTAAATTCTTATTGGAAGTTAAGGGGAGTTGGAGGTTTCTCTCAAGCCCACAAGGTCTCTATCGCCTTTAACTCAAAGTAATCCACATGGCATAACAGCACATGTTGGGGTGACTCCTTCTGAACCTCTACAATGTCTTCTGGGCATTCTGACTTGGAAGAGTCCACTCATGACCCCTGAAGGGGTTTGTGACTGATGCGTCACCCAAATGTCTGCTGAATGACTGGAATAATGCACAGACTTCCAAACCCACCCACACGGGGCCCAGCCAGGGACCTGCCTTTCCCGAATCTCTGATGTGATGCCGTTTCCCCCACAGGGCCCCCCATCATCTCCAGCACCCAGACCCAGCACGCCCTGCACGGGGAGAAGGGCCAGATCAAGTGCTTCATCCGGAGCACACCGCCGCCTGACCGCATAGTGAGTGCCTGGGAGGGGGTGGGGTCCTCGCTTGCAGCCGTGCGCCCACCGGGCAGCCAGTGCCCACCTCTGCTTCCTCTCCTCCGCGGGGAAGTTACCCCCACTTGCTGTCTTGGAAAGGCACCTGAAGACAAAAGTCACAGACGGTCTCCTTCTTTAGAGCCGCTGTCAGCCAGGGTTCATCTGCCACTGCGCTGGGACGGTTGGTTCTAGCATTGCTGCTTCGGACGGAATTCTGCATCCTGGGAGCAGGGGAGCAAGTGAGGGAGCAGAAGGAAAAGAAAGATGCACAATTTTTTCACTTTCCCGGGTTCAAGTTCTTGGCAAAATCCTATGAAGGGTGCAGTTTATGGAGGGCAAACCCCTTTCTGCACCTCCAGAGTCCCCCTCTCTCAGCCTCCGTCCACGGAGAAGGTCCGCCTCCATCCTCCCTCCCCCCCGGAACCTCCTCTTCGTGCCGTGCAGCTAAGGCAGCTGAGCAGCCACACTTAGCCCTTCCGGGCACTTGCGTGTGTGCAAGAGCCTTCCACCCAGCCCAGCTGAAACTGGTGCAAGCCGGGGCGGCACTGGAGGAGGTGGGCAGATATTTTGGGTAGTGAGCCCCCAGGCCCAGGACCGTTCTGCTAGAAGACACCCTGGGCCAGCTCCGGGGCAGTGCTACTTCTCATGATCCAGTAGCGCAGGGAGGGCATGGGCGCACGTGTCCAGGGCTGGGGCGCTGAGGCGACAAACTCGGTGCCATCCTGTACATGAGGCATTACTAGAGCAGTATTGCTGCTCACACTTTCTCCTGCACGCAGTTAATTCACTGTCTGAAAGACTCACACAAAAATGGCAAGAATTCACACATAGAACTAATACCGAAGCCTCCCCGTCCCGCTCACTCTTGAGCAGAGTCGCAGTCTTCCTCCTGGTGAGTTTGGCCCCCGGGGATGTGTGGTGTCCGGAGAGTCTTTGGTGTCACAGCCGGAGGGGTGACACCTGCTGGAGGGGTGCTCCGGCTCTGTTGTACGGAGGCCAGGATGCTCGGGGACCTGCAGGGCACAGGACAGCCCACAGCCTGGACTGTCCGTGGTGCTGAGCCTGAGCCCCGCTCCCGGTCCCGGTGCCCGCCGGGCACTGTCCCACCTGCGTGACATTCTCACAAACCCCGGCCAAACAGGTGTGCCGTGAAACAGGGGGGGAAGTGCACGATCACCCTGAGACACCAGGAGAGATTAAGATACACGAACACAACTCTCGGAGCGTGCTTTTGTACAGACAAGACCTAAAAGTAACAAAACTAGACTCGGCCTCTCTGGGGCGGGGGACAGGGCGTGCTCCGTGGCTGCCGCAGAGCCTCCCGCTCGCCTGTGGAAAGTGCCCCGGTGTAGAAGCACATGAGGACCCGTCTGGGAGGACATGCCCCCCGAGGCGGCCTAACCTCTGTGTGCGTGTACATGTGCGTGTACATGCGCCTGTACGGAGTGGCACTGTGGAGTGGGGTGCTATGTGGGTGTTGTCACGTGTGTGGTGTGTGCACGTGTTCATGATGTGTTGGAATGTGTGTACACGTGTGAATGTCCGTGCAGCACAGGTGTGTTGGGATGTGCGGGGACCGGTGCGGTGACTGGGCTTGCATGTGAGCCCGGCGGGGTCAGCCGCGCCTCACGAGGCGGCAGCACGGTGGTCCCGGTGTGGGTGGCCGCGTGAGGTCTCCACCTAACTCTGGCACCCCGGGCAGGCCTGGTCGTGGAAGGAGAACGTGCTGGAGTCGGGGACCTCGGGGCGCTACACAGTGGAGACGGTCAGCACGGAGGAGGGTGTCATCTCCACCCTGACCATCAGCAACATCGTGCGGGCCGATTTCCAGACCATCTACAACTGCACCGCCTGGAACAGCTTCGGCTCCGACACGGAGATCATCCGGCTCAAGGAGCAAGGTGGGGCCCGGGGCGCTGGGGCCGGCAGGCCCTCCCCGCCCGGGGCAGGCCTCCGAGCGGCCTTCAGTGTCCTGAGGGGAAAGAAAGCCTGCTGAGGGCTCCAGCGGGCTGGGCCTGGGGACAGGTCAGGGTCCGGCTCCCCGGCCCGCAGCCTCGGGCAGGTCGCAGGACGGGCGAGGCACAAGCCCTCGCCAGGAAGCCAGGGGGTAGAAAGCTGCTCAGGGAGCTGGCTCTCCGAGGTGCTGCTTCGGGAAAGGGCGCCCACAGGAGCGAGCCAAGTTCCTCGCCATGATGAGCTGCCAACACCCCGTAGAGGCCCCGGCTTGCCTGCACTCGGCATTTCCCTGGGGGCACCGGTCTGGTGCCAAAGAGCGCGGGGGTGTGCGATCCACTGAGGGGCAACCCGGGGCCCTGGGCAGGACACAGATACCCCTGTGCCAGTTGACATGACAAGCCAGCCCGTCCAGACACCCAGAAAGCCCCCAAGGCCCCAGGCCGAGCTGAAGGGAAGCCCTCAGCGGAGGAAGGCGAAGGCTCACCCCCGACCTGGGTGCAGGCTGCCCAGCTCCTGGTCATGAGCTCGTCCCTGCTCACAGGTCTGACAGACCAGAGGGTGCACGGAGTGGGACTCAGAGGAGCTCGGGACACCCGCCGCCCACTGGGGCTCGGGAGGGGCTGCAGACCTTGCCCCTTCCTGGGGTTGTCCAGGACTAGCCCCTCCAAGATGAAGGCCACCCCCAGGCTGTCAGGCCCGGCAAAGGCTCTGGACCATGCAGGTGGTCCCTCTGGGCCCTCGGGGCCGCAAGGACTCTGGATCACAGGGTCTCCCAACACCTCTTCCCTAATAGGTGCTGCTTCGCATAATGCTTTGCATACAATTTGCATAATACCATCCACACATCATCCCGAGGCCGGCTGCTTTCCCTCCATGTCTTCCCCTTGGTGCCCTCACCCCCCATGCTCTCCTCTGAGTTCTTACCCCACCTCCCAGACCCACCCTCCCCAGCCCTGACTTCTCTCTCTGGTCCCTTCCCCTGGAGTCTCCAAGTCTCTCCAAGTTCAGTTGGGATAGCCTGGGCCCATGGGGCAGTCCCACAGATGTGATTGAAGAGGGCCGCCCGCACCCGGACCCCCCGGTGGCAGTCCCCAGCCCCGCCCCACCCTGGCCAGCCAGGCCCTGGCTGTGGACGCTTGCTTTATTCCCAAACAGGTTCGGAAATGAAGTCGGGAGCCGGGCTGGAAGCAGGTACGAAGGAGACAAGAGAACTCCCTGGGCTGGGGGGAAGGGACCTCAGGGCTAGCAGGGGAGGGGACTCCAGGGGGGGAGGGAGGCCTATGCAGGCCGCTAACTTCTCTGCCCTCCCCCACCTCGAGAGTTCAGCACAGTCAGAGCAGCAGGGAGAGGGGTTCCCAGCTAGCGTGGGTCAAGGAACCCCGGAGACCTGTCTCCTGCCTCATTGCCACCGGAGCCTACAGGCTCCTTGCAACCAGGGACCAGGCTCTGTTCCTTCTGCTCTGTCCCTCTCATCCCTTCCCTTCAACAGCCGGGCTCCTCCCCACGGGGGACAGCTCCTTCAGCCTGTTCTCCCTCTATTTCTTTCTCTTCCTGACTCTCCAGCTTCTCCACATCATCACCAGCTTGGCATTGGCCCCCAGGGGCCAGGGCCTCAGGCCCTGCTGTGGCCGCACAATCCATGCAAATCCATGCTTTCTCATGGCTGCCCCTCCCCCAGCTTCCCAGAGCACGGCCACCCCGCCCAGCTGAGTGGTCATCAGGACCCCTGGGTTGAGCTGCTCTTTGGGCCTCACAGGAGACAGTTGCCCCCACCCTCCAAGCAGAATCCCAGACGAGAATCAGGGCAAACCCGAGTGCACAGGGCTGGCTGAGGACAGCGAACGTGTGGGGTCCTCTGCCCTCGTGCTCCCGCCACGCTGGCCCGCAGGGAGCTGGGCGCTCAGTTCCTCTGCGAGCTTCAGGGGGCCGGGCAGCTGCCTGCTGTTGTCCCCAGGGGCCCCTCGGAGCCCGCCGGTGCTGGCCGGGTGTCTCCGGCCTGTTGCCATGTCCCGTGTGTGTTCACCCTCGCTCAGAGGGCCCTGACCCCTTTGTGCCCAGTCCACCGCCTTGGATGGAGAGGAGGCTGAACCTCCAGGGGACAGCTGAGGGGTGCCCTGTCCAGAAAAGGACAGCCAGCACAAGGGGCAGAGACCTCAGAAAGTGGACAAGGGGAGATGCACACAGGCAGGCCACAGAGGATGGCCACCCCAGGGGTCCCCGGGCCCCCATCAGACCCTCTCCTGCCCGCCCACCTGCTCCAGATGAGAGGGTGCCTCCGGCTGCTAACAACGTCAGGACAGGTGAAGTCGCAGGAGGCCGGGGCAGAGGTCCGCTTCCCTAGTTCTCTGGTTTTACAGGTGAGACCCTGAGTGAGGCCCAGAGAGGGTGAGGAACCTTCCATGGTCGTCCTCAGGCTCTGGGCTCAGCTGAGACAAGACCAAGTTATCCCAAGGAAACCTACCGGGAGTCCGACGAGAAACAAAATCAGTCCAAAATTAATATAATTCAAAAGCATGGAGCCAGTGAGCTTCCAAAGTAGTTTCCCTCCCTGATGGAAGGGCAGCTGAAGACAGAACCATCTATTTGTCACTGAAGCCCAGTCCCTTCTCTGCTGACTATTGCGATCGATCCAGGCACCTCCATGTGCAGCCCCTGAATGTGTGCAGCGCCCCAGGCCCTCCCCACCCGCCCCCTGCCACGCCAGCAGGGCTCTCAGCCACCAGTCGGCAGCTGGTGTGCAAGTCCTGGGCTGGGAGGGACGCGCCGGCGTAACCACCAGCACTGCCAACCAGCGAGCACCCTCTTCAGGAGCAGGGGACGGCCTCCTCCTCCCGGCAGCATCTCCAAGGGCCAGGGTTGCGGTTTTCTTCTTCTCTGGGAAGAAAACGACGATGAGACGCTAACCCACAGCTCAAGACAAATACCTGGATGTCCCACAGTCAGCCACATAGAGTAGCAGGGGCGGGTGTGAGGGAGGGAGCCCCCGCTCTGTGAGGAAGGGCCCTCCCCGGACAGAAGCAGAGCAGAGGCTGAGAGGGGCCGGGGGCCAGGCTGTTCCGAGGCCGGCACCTGCGCTCACTCCCTGCCCAGGTGGGCACTGTCATCCGTTTGACAGCTAGGAGAGGTAAAGTCGCTCAGGAGGGATGGGGTCTGGACTGTATAGAGCAGGGGACAGTTGCTGGGTGGTACAGTGAGCAGAGCTGGGCAGGATTGGACTGGGCGTTGGGGGGAGGGATAAGAGGAAACCTAGATTTGCCCTGGCTCTGCTGAAGCTGTGTGTCCTTGACCAAGTTACCCGACTTCTCTGGACCTCAGTGTTTCCATCTGTAAAATGGGAGGCATGGACTCAGGGGACCCTAAGGTCTCTGTGCCCTGCATTCTCTCGTTCTGTTCAGGGCCCCAAATCATGAGCTCGGGCCCCATATGGAGCCACAGAAAGTCCAGGGCCTTCTGGAAGGACACCTCCCACCCCACCCCAACACCACCCTCCTGTCCCCACCTCTGCTGGGCTGGGCAGGCGCAGGCCACAGAAACTCGGTGGGGAGCCAGGCTTTGCCGAGCTGCAGCCTGGGCCCCTGGAGAAAGGCTGCCAGATGCCCAGAGGACTGGCCTAGGAGAGGAAGGCGCAGGACGAGGCGGGGAGGGGGACAAGGAAAAGGGGCATTTCTCCTTAAAGAGGAAGGAGCCGTGATCCTGCTCCCCTGGCCCCTGAGTCTTGGGTCTCTACCACCAAGACTTCTGTGCCCGGCGGGCCCCAAGGGGGTGCTGCTTCACACCTGAGAACTCACAAAACTGGCTGGCCTTGGCCCGCCTCTCACACCCACCCCCGGGGAAGGGACGAGGAGGAACACAGAAACTGAACGGACAAGGACGTGACCACAGTCATTTCTCAAAGAAAAGCCAGGACTTGCAGCTCTTCAGCCACCACATCCTAGACTGTCCCTGGCTCGGTACCCAAGAGAGCTAACCTGCGCCCAGTCCAGCCTCTCATCTGTCATGCCCCTCCCCAGCCCCTCCCGGCTGCTCTCCTCCCTGCCCACCACCGCTCCTGCCCTCCCGCCCACACCCAGCCCATGTCCCACTGAGCTGGCTCTGGGGGACTCCGCTGCTGCCGGCCCAGCGCCCCCCACAGGCACTTCCAGGAAATGCAGGGCTCTGGCCCCAGCTTGCGGAGGCTGCCCCCCCGGGAACTGGGTCGGGCCCTGGGTGTGGGCTGTCGGGTCCCTGTCAGCTGTGCCTGCTTCTCTCCCACAGAGTCTGTGCCGATGGCCGTCATCATCGGGGTGGCCGTAGGAGCTGGCGTGGCCTTCCTCGTCCTCATGGCAACCATCGTGGCCTTCTGCTGCGCCCGCTCCCAGAGAAGTACGGGAGGGGGACCCGGGGTCTCAGGGAGGGGGACAGGAAAAGGCCCGGCTTAGACTGTCCCGGAGAGCAAGGGAGCAGGGAGCAGGGAGCAGGCCCGGCGGCGCCGTGAGCCGCGGGCCGCTGGGCGTGTGCACCTCCCTGTGTGCAGGGCGTGGCGTCTGGCACATAGTGGGCACTCAGCGAACTGGACTGAACTAACTTCACCGACAGGGCAGTCAGCCAGCGCTCTGGATGAACACATGTAGCCGGATAGAACGCTATAGAAATCTCACCCTCCAAGACCAGCAAGTCCAACCGGAAAAGCTGGTCACCCACACATAAAAAACAAAAATAGCATTCAAGGAATCCCTCTGTGCAGCCTTTTCAAGGTCTTTAGTCATCAGCAACAACATCTTGGTGTTTGTATGCCCTTGGAAATACTGTGCCTCTTGAGCCCCCTCCCCCGACGCGCAGCCCGACGCGGATGCTGCCGGACCGACGTGTAAAACGTTGGCAGCACAGAGGTGTCGACAACGGAGGCACAGCCCTCCGGTCCCACGTCCCCACACGTGAGCCTGGGCAGGCCACACCGTTCCTGGCCTCGGTTTCCCTATGTGTGATAGTCAGGCGTCAGACGGCTGACTTTGGTGACCCCCCGCGACCCTAGCGCTCTGCGCTGTGAGCACGGGGCGCAGGTGGATAATCAGTGAGCCTGCTCCCTCCGCCCTGTGGCGGCCCTCACTGTGGCAGAAAGCGGGGTGCTCCCCTACGTCTCCTCCCCTCCAAGCCTAGTGGCCTTGACAGCCCTAGTGGTGTGGTCCTGGGACCTGCCTCACCACCCTCTCAGTGGAAACGATGGGGGAGCAGGTTTTAGCTGGGATTTTCTAACAACTCTCAGACTACGAATTGGCTGCTCCCCCGAGAAGCTGCCATCCCCAGAGCATGGACACGGGAGCTGGGCCACGCGTGCCGGGCCCTGCTTCGGCCGGGAGGCTGGCCAGGAAGGTCCTTGCTGTCAGTCAGGTTTGCGCTTCTGTGAAGGGAGCTCAGAGCCGGCTGCATGGTCAGAGGAGACTTCCAGAAGGAGGTGGGGATGCAGCAGCGTGCAAGGGCCCCGCTCTGTGAGGTGGACGAGGATGGGGACCACCTCTCACAGCGCAGGGACGTGCATGCCACCAAGAGCCAACCGAGGCAGAGCCCTGGGGTCCTACAGCCCTCCGCAGTCAGCGGGCGTGCTGCCGGCAGGAGGGACGCGGGGAAGCCGCTGAGCTCGGGCAGGAGGGTGAACTCTGGGCGCGACGAGGATGGGGGCTTGACGTCTCAGGCCCTAAGCCTGAGGATGCAGATGGAGTCTGTCATCTCCACATTCTTATTTTGTGTCCAGATCTCAAAGGCGTTGTGTCCGCCAAGAACGATATCCGAGTGGAGATCGTCCACAAGGAGCCCGCCTCCGGCCGGGAGGCCGAGGAACACCCCACCATCAAGCAGCTGATGGTGAGAATGCTGTCTACCCCCACCCCACCCAGCCTCTGTGCCCTCCGGAAGCCCGAGACGCTCCCATGAAGCAGAGTGTCGGTCAGGATGGGCCCTTCCCCCAGTACTAGGCCAGGTGCCTGCTACCAACCCACCAAGAGTGGCCGTGTGTCTGCTCTGTTGTGCTGGGTGCTCCTGAGTCTCCTAGACGTCTAAGATGCAGTCCCAGCTTTCAAAGAACCTGGCCATTGGGTAGGGAGAGAAGACTCACATACATAGCCATAGTGTGTTCTAGAACATATAACTCCACACACCTTCACCCACAGATATTACAGATATTCAGTCTGTACCTCATATCCCAATGTCCCCCAAAAAGTCTGCAAGAGGCATAGGTTCCTCATCGAAACTGACTTGCTTACTGTAAACAAACCATAAGGTCTCCAGCAGCCAGCCGGAGGCCGCTCCTCCTCCCAGCTGTGCAAACATCCTGAACGGAGGGGGAGGGGCAGGGGCTGCCCTGCCTCAGTCTCCCCAGCTGGGAAGCGAGATGAAAGTAAGAGAGCACAGTCGGCTCTCCAGAGATGCCAGCTATCTGTGCAGCAGTGACACAGGGGAAGCAGCTGCGGGCACAGATAGCAGCCCTGCAGTCGTTCAGATGAACGGACACGCCCTCTGTGTGCTGAGTATGAGTCATGTTTCACCGTAGGTGTATTATTTGAATTCTCAGGAATTTAGAGCTACGCCACTGCATTCATGCATCTGACACAAACATAACACCCGTAACAGCCCCACGGTGTGCAGAGTAGGCATTGCACTGGGCAAATCCAGGAATTAATACAAACATTTAAATAGGATTCCATCCCCAAAGGATGTTAGTCAGTGGCCACAATACCCAAGGCACTGTACCAGGTGTGCTGGGGACCCAAAGAGAAACAAGAAGTGATCCTTCTCTTGAGCTCTTTGGTATCTGAGAAGGAAGAAAACTTAGGACACGAGGTCATTGCTGTGTGGCCCGGGGTCACCGTGCTCACTGTGATTTCTTCTTCATGCCTTCATTAAGCCTAGCACTGGATGATGCCCTGCTTTGCTGGGGCCCCACCCCGTGCCCAGGTGCCAAGGTCTCATAATCATGTATCTACAGATCCATTGCCCTGATGAGAACAGTTGTGCCTTACTCTGTGCGTGCCTGGCCCTTAGCACGGCAGATGCTCAATAAATTGAAGTGAAACAGCCAAGCGAGAGCTCTGTAGGTGGCCCCCGAGGGGAAGTGAGTTCAGTCTTCGAGAAATGCCCCTCACCCACGCACGCACGCACACACGCTCCTGCCTCCTTCACCTGCCTCCTGTGGGCCAGGCAGTGGGGGCGGGGCGGGGTGGGGCAGAGATGGCAGACTCCTTTCTGGTTGATTTCTCCGTCTTTTCCTGGGGAGGAGTGGATACTTAGCCCACCTCCCGCCCACTGAACACCCATTTTGGGGTTGCAGATGGACCGGGGAGAATTCCAACAAGACTCAGTCCTCAAGCAGCTGGAGGTCCTCAAGGAAGAGGAGAAGGAGTTTCAGAACCTGAAGGTAGGAGTGGCCACGAGCTGTAGGGTCCGGTACAGAATCTGGCCTCCAACTCAGCTAGCCCAAGCCCTGTGGCCAGACAATGACAGCAAACAGAGGACAAGGGCCAGAGGTCCCCTTGGGGACGGGTGCCTGTCCTCTCCCTCAGGGACCCTCACCTGCACACCCCCTGCTGTCAGCCCCACGTTCAGGAGGCAACAGGGTTAAGGCTGAGGTCCCACAGTTCTCCTCTCCCACGGCCTTTTCACAGATACATTTAAAAACTACGTATCCGTGTTCTGGACAAAAACAAAGCCTCTTCTCAAATGACCTGGCATTGTGCTGGGCTACGTGAGCACACCCAGGAGAGGCCCCGCTCCCCTCCCTCGGGGCCCTCCCCTCTGCTGCCGCCGGAACACCTGACAGGCCTCTCTTCTTGGTGTCCCCACCAGGATGACCCTTCCAGAGCCCCTCCCCGCATTTCTCTGCTGCTGTCCCTTCCTCCTGCGTGTCCGCGTCCCTTCCTGTGGAAGGTAGGACTGCTCAGCCCAGGAGGTTCAGGGCGGGCTCTGCGTGCCGGTGACGCTGCTCTCTCGCTTTGACCCCTCTCAGGACCCCACCAACGGCTACTACAGTGTCAACACCTTCAAGGAGCACCACTCCACCCCCACCATCTCGCTGTCCAGCTGCCAGCCGGACCTGCGCCCTGCGGGCAAGCAGCGAGTGCCCACCGGCATGTCCTTCACCAACATCTACAGCACGCTGAGTGGCCAGGGCCGCCTCTATGACTACAGCCAGAGGTTCGTGCTGGGCATGGGCAGCTCGTCCATCGAGCTGTGCGAGCGGGAGTTCCAGCGGGGCTCCCTCAGCGACAGCAGCTCCTTCCTGGACACGCAGTGCGACAGCAGCGTCAGCAGCAGCGGCAAGCAGGACGGCTACGTGCAGTTCGACAAGGCCAGCAAGGCCTCTGCCTCCTCTTCCCACCACTCCCAGTCCTCTTCCCAGAACTCCGACCCCAGCCGACCCCTGCAGCGGCGGATGCAGACTCACGTCTGAGCATCCAGTTCCCCGGCAGGGAGGCGGGGCCTGGGGCAGCCGCACATCCTGGCTCTCCAGATAACACGGGGACTTCGCAGAGGACCCCAGAACCGGGCCTCCAGGACAGCCCCCGCCGGCCTCTGCCGCCATCCTCCTCTGAAGCCCCGATCAAGCACAAATCTGGGTCCCCAGCTGCAGTGCGCCAGGGGCGCGGGGTGGGAAGTGTCAGAGGGTGCGGCTCAGCGCCCTAGGCTCCGCTGGACACTGCCCAGCCCTTTCCTGGAGGCCGCTCCCCACCTGCTCCTCCCACAGGCACTAGAGGCGGCTGTAACTTTGCTTTAATGAACCTGCCAACCACTCTCCGTCTCCCCTGAGCTCTCCCCCTCGCGGCTCAGAAGCTCCACCCCGCGCCTGTGCTCCTGCGCAACCCTAGGGAGAAGAGGGGTGAAGCCGCGCCCCACCCCTCACTGAGCTGCCCCGAGACCCCAGCGCCCTCTGCTGCTCAGAGCCAGAAGTGGCCCGGGCCTCAGGACCGCCTCTCACCACCCTGGCTGGGAGCCCACCCCAATTCGTTCGGCGTTTTGTGTCCATACGCTGGCAGTTCTGTCCTTGGACTCACGCCTCTGACCTCTGAGGGGGGACTGGCCAGATCGGAAACTGCTGTCCTGGGTGGGGTGGGGGGGAGCGCCTCCCCATGTGCCCCTGCCAGGCTGTGAGCCTCCGAGCCTCCGCCTACCCCCTCTCTGCAGCACATCAGCTAATACAAGGAGGATGAGAGCTACTCTGCTCCCCAGGACAGTGTTTCCTGGGAGATGCAGGTTTGAGGGGACCAGAGGGCAGGTCTTTAAGATGATTGGAAGCGCTTTCTCAGTTGATGTGTCTCCAGGGCCCTCCATTCACACCAGGAACAGTGGCCCTGTCTTCAGTGAGACTCCGTGGACAAGAGAGAAAGTACATCAACACCTTACCCTCCTTCTGACTGCCCGAGAATAAACGTTAGGGCTGTTACTCCAGCAAATCCGTTCTTCCCTTTTGTTCCTGCAGAGCCACGGGAAGAACCCGGAGCTTTGGGAACACCAGGTTCTTTGCCCTTGTTTGACTCCGTTTTCCTGGGTAATGAAGCCAGCGCGCTGGTTGGGGTGCAGTGGTCCCTCCAGGCAAACTCCTCTCCTCGTGGATGAGCCCAACCCAGAGGGGCGCCAAAGCGGGACTCACCAACCACCTGCCTCATGCCATACACAGCTCAGAGGCAAGGTGGTCATTGCCTGGGGGGGGGGGGGGCATTCAAAGTCTCTTAGCAACATTCTGCAAGGCAAGCTCCCTTCTTTGGGGGTTCAGGGAAGGAGGCCCTCTTCAAAGAACCTAGGGCACCAAAAACCGTAACACTCTAAGACTCCAGTAATGTGCCCAGAGTGGGCGTGCTTGGTGGGCAGCTTGATGTAGTGATGGCAGATGGGATGGGATGGGTTCGGGGAGCAGAATTCAAATGGAACTTTGGAGAATGTAAATTGTCCCTGAGGTTGGCATTCCTCAATGGTTTTAGGCCTTTCTTCTCCAACTTCCCCCATAGTCCTTACCCATCGTGGGAATCTTCACCACAAAAGTCTGTGCTTCCTTCCGCACACTGATTCCTTGGATGGCCCCGCCCACAGATTTATACACTGCTCTCCTTGAATCTCCACGCAGAGGGTGCTCCGCGTCCACCTTTTCCCTACGGCTTCAAAACCCCCAGTGCCCTAGACGTCTTCTTTTGCAGCCCCTGAGCCCACGGAGTAGAAACTGATGAGAACTATTCACTCCAGTCCCATGTCTCGCTCCTGGTACCGTTCTGGCCCCACACAGAGGCCGGGGAATGGGTCCCTGAGCATTGTAGGTTTATCCCGAAGAGCCTTCTTCCTTTCCATGTGTGTGTTGCCTTTGCCATAAGGGAACAAGTTCCCAAGACCATATGCAAAATGCCTTAGTGTGCTGGTTTGAAAAAGAGGATTTGTCCATCAATGTGCCCTGGTCTCCTCGCCTTGGAAGTGGGTGGGAAATCCTCCTAATCCCCACCACAGCCTTCCTTGCCCTTTGCCCCCTGCCAACCACGCACATACACCGCTTTCATAGTAGAGGGAAGGCACCGGTTCTTTCCTGAAACCCAAGTTTATGACTCACTATAACCAGAAGCACAGGGAAGAAACCTGTTCTCCCATACAATGGAACAAGCTCATCTCTGTCTTGAGCTTCAGGGACTCCCAGAGTGGACTCATTGATGGGGAGCAGTCTTGACAGGGGCCGAGCAGTCAAGACTCAGCCATGCTGTGCACAAAAACAGCAAACACTGCCCAAAGGACAGGTCACAGGCAAGACCTTGGCGAAAGAGAAGAGCAGAAAGGGGCAAAGGGGTAGCATCCGGGGCTTCTGGAGTGTTGAGGCATTGGGAAGGAGCCTAGACTAAGCTGCGTGCATGCCCCAGTTGTCTCCAACCCTACGAACCTCGCAAGGGAGTGAGGGTGCAAAAAAGCTGGTCAAGGGAGGTGTTAACAAAACTTTAAGGCCGTGGGAAGCCCTGGATTCCCTTGTAGGTGATTTCAAATGAACTGAAATGAGTCTACATTTGTAATCTGACTAATCCTCACAATTCTACGAAGTCATACCATTTTACAGGGAAAGGAATGAGGCTTAGAGAAGCTAAAAGACTTGCCCAAGGTCACAGAACTAACAGTTGGCAAACAGGAGATGTGAGCTCACACGATTTCCTCTGTAAAACGTTTCCACCCTAAAGTCCCAACGCAAGGCCACTTCCATCCTCGAATGTGATGAAAAGAGCCCGTGGTGAAGTTCATCTGCCAGCACCCACTCGGGGGTAGGCTGAGCAGGGACAGGCCGCGGCTCCATGAGGAAGGCGGGACTGGCATCCTCCACCTCAAGTCCCTGAATGACCTGGAAAGACCACAGCTCCCCGGGAAACAAAGCTATTCTGTGTATCAAATCCCCCCTCCCCTCCCAAGGCCAGTGTCCAGTTTTCTGATAGTTTTAAAACACTGTTGGCTCCGAGTCCCTGGATGGGAGCCCAGTTTCTAATTCTCAGGCTCGCTATCAGTCTGGAAAGGCCAGAGTTGTTTCCACCACCTCTTCAACTTTCCTGGGGTAGGAAGTGCTGTCGCTGGAAGAGATAGGACACCACGCCGAGTCTGTTCCTGGTGGAGCCTATGGCCACAAGGGCTGCAAAGCTATAGGCCCTGAAGCTGCCTTGGAACTTCCGGAGGGGAAAGGACGGGGGAGGGGGATGAAACAAACATGTTGCAGTCCTTAGGAGATTTCTCAGAACTGGAGTTGCACTTCTCCCTTCCCGCATGGCGGGCGTACCCACCATGAATGGCGTTTGCTGTTAAGAAATCAGAATGGAAATCGCAAGGGACACTCCGCAAGTTGGATGAGCTCATCCCAGGTCTTGTATGTGGTTTATGGTGGAGCAGGAAAAAAAAAAAAAAAAAAAAAGATGGAGATAGTCCTGCAATTAGTCTCTTCTCTAGGAAGTGTCCCTATAAGAGAAACTCTTTATTACAGTAAAAGTATAACTATTTAAATAAAAACTATCTTAATTTGCATATAGATTTTTATTTAAAATGCCACTCGGTGTGCCTGTCTAACGAAACATAACCGTTTAGACATAAACCAAGGACATCTGAACCGAATCTTGAATTTTACTTCCCCTTTTTTAAAAAGTCTTTTAGAAGCCTCTTATCCAAGTTGTTTTTAGATGTGACCACATACCAGCCATTTGCAGCTCGAACATCAAAACTACCAGCAACCTTTGATAAATCAATCACTGATCAAGACGTCTCAGCCAGCTCGACCTTTACTTCCCATGCCCAGTGAGGCCCCAATCATCTTTCCCCGACTCCCTGTGTTTCAATCTTCCTAACTAGGTCATAAGCTGGAAAAAATGAGACAATTTCAAGCTACTCTTCTTTCTAAAAATAAGGATTTGTTTTCCCGGATGAATCCATTGTTGTTGTAGGAGAGGACCAGCCATTTTTTCCCTAACTGCTATTCTTCCTGGTCCCCAGTCCAGAAAGAACTGGACTGCCCCTCTACTGGCTGGGCTCTGACACACAGAGAAATCTTTCATTACCACAGGCCCTGTGATTTTATTCCTGCCCTAGCTGTCATCTTTAAAAGGTCTGTTGTGAACACACACCATTCTTGTTGGCTGTGGTCAACATCCCCGGTGCATCCCCTCCCTGGGCCCAGCTCTCCTCTCTGGAACAGCTCACTGAGCCCACCCACGGCTGGATGCCCTCAGCCCCTGAGCCCCATGGGCTCCTGGAGCCCACTGATCGGGGACATCAGCCATGCAAGGCATCTATCTGCCTCCTTCTCCTGCTCCTTACCCTCACGGCCCTGGGAAATGCCTTGGCATGCCACGAGAACACTCTAAGAATGCCCCTTTACCGCTGTCTTCTTCGTGGTGAATCCCAAGTACTGGATTCAAAGACGAGGTAAGTGAAGTCTCAGGAAACAGGACTTGGGAGAACTGGGGTCTCAGTAAGTGAAGCTCCAGCGGCATCTGCTTCCCGTGGTGCGAGAGGAAAGTGCTCCTGGGATAGGACCTGAATACAGGGAGTCTCCCCGAAGGTCACCCCAAAGCCAAGTTCAGGTGGACTAAGTTAAAGATGCCATCTTTGCCTGCTCTGTAGGAAAATGAAAAGGGCCAGGGTCTTGATGCCCAAGGACTAGAAAATACATTTTCGACACCAATGAACATTGCACTTGGTAGAAAGACTGAAGAAAGAAGGCAATAGTCATAGAGTGATATGGATAAGGACTCAGGGCTTCTACATGTGAGTTTTTAATAAGAATCCCCTATTTGATTTTTCATCTAACGTTTCTTCAGCTTGCCTGGCCGGTGTGGCTCAGTGGACTGAGTGCATCCCATGGACTGAGAGGTCCGGGTTTGATTCCCGGTCAGGGCACATGCCCAGGTTGTGGGCTTGATCCCCAGTAGGGGGCGTGCAGGAGGCAGCTGATGGATGTTTCTCTCTCACATCCATGTTTCTATCTCTCTCTCTCTCCCTTCCTCTCGCTCTTAAAAAATAAAAAAGTATATTAAAGTGTCCCTCGCTCTCCTGCCACGCAGGCCACCACCAGTGGAACACAAAGCTACAGAGAGAGTGAGGACAGAACTGGAGAGTCTCCTTATCAGACTAATTTCCACTCTTGTGATTTTTTTTTTCTCCCCAAGAGAGAAATACATTTTTAAGCAGAAGATACTCTTTAAGTGTTAAGCTCGGTGATGTATGTAAATAGTGTTTTACGAAGCCTCAAAATAATAGACGGTTCTGGAATAGCTTAGTTCAGTAATTCCAACTTCAATCCCCTACGGTGATTTCAACATCTGAGCCTTCTCTCATTCCCTCCACCCAACTCCACCCTCCCAGTCTTGCAAGATTCCTAAGAGGAAGTGGTGCCTCTGTTGAGGGGTGGGTATACTTTAAAATGTTAGTTTTCCCTGGGAACCTGAAATCTGTCTTCCAAAGTTCATTTCCCCAGAAACCTTTGTCAGATCCTCTGTGCTGACCCTCATAGATAGGACTGTAATCTCCCCCACCTGATCCCAGCTCTCTGCAATTCCCTTACATGAAGAAGTGAAGCCTTCCAATACATTTGGGCTCCCCCCAAATCTGACATCTGAGACTCAGGGTTCATCTCCCTGCCTCATTTCTTGGGTGCAGGATACCCCAGACCTCCAACAAAAGAGAGAGATAAACTTGTTGAGAAAGAACTGGAAAGGAAAACAGGCTATAACTACACACACACACACACACACACACACACATCCCTCCTTAAACTATTAAATTGGAAGGATTTTCCTGGAACTATGTCTGGCAGAACCATGGGAATGCTCGTAACTAACAAATAGCCTTCTGAAGTGATAATTAAGAAATCAAAAAAGGTCAGAGTTTTCAGGCAGCTAACCAGCGGAGATTGTACTCCTCAGCCTGGGCTTAGGAACCCACTGCGGTATGCTGCCTGCCATCGAAGGGGATAATGTCTCCAAAAACCCCGAAAGGCACCTGACTTCAACGTGAACATCACTTCCAGAGAGCAGTTTGAACTCAGTGTTGATTGTTTGATGACGCAAAGCCTGCCTTTGAGTCATTTTGCTGTCTTACCCTTACTTTAATTGTGGGTGACTGGAAGACAAAGGCTTTTCTGTAACTAGCCAAGCTACTCTCTGTACCTGGGCAAATATTTGTACCTCACCCGTCTGGTGTTTTCCATCATGCAAAGGCAGCTTTCCAACCTAGTATTTATATCACACTTTATCGTCTACACCATGTACCCTTTGGATCCTTAAAACCTCATTGCGCGATGGGCATGCCCCGTCAGTTCTACAGCTGGAGGAGCCGAGACTCACGGGGCTGATTACAGGACAACAGGGAGTAGAACCCGCGACCCAACCCCTGCAGCATGTTGCGCGCGCTCCACCTTTTCTCGCCTTGCAGGCGGCACTGCTCCAAGCTCACACTTTTCTTAGGCTCCTCAGTCTGGCGGGCATGTACTTGTGTCCTTAGAAAGTGTAAATAAAAACCCAAAGTGTCCAAAATGAAGGCACACCATTTGATGTTAATACAAAGTACCATTCAAGTGTGTTCGTGGGCTACATCAAAGCCGAACCAGATCCCCAGGTGGGTGGCTGAGCCGGAGTCCCTCCCCTTCCCCCGGCCTCTGCGGGGGGCAGGTCTCTTCTGCTTCCCCGCAGCCCAAGTCTGGTCCCCCACCCCCCGAGGGGGGAATCCACCGCAGGCCACGCTCCAGGGAGGCTCCGCCTCGGAGGAGGCTCGGCCAGGCGGACCCCGGAGCCCTCGCTCAGCAGGGACCATCCCCTGCCAGGTTCCCACCGCCCGCCGCCTGGCCGACCCAGGCGACAGCGCATGCGCACCCTGCGGACCCTCCGCGCCGGGGGCGGGGCCGGCTCTGCCTGTTGCCCCCTCCTGCGCCTGGGCCTGGTTAATGCAGCTCCAGGACGTGGGGGATTAAGATGGGCTTTGTTTGCAGACGGTGAAGTTGACAGGCGCGTGAGGTCATCCTGGAGTCTAGACTGCGAGAGCAGTGGCTCTGAGTGCATATTAAATTCCAGACTCCTGCGCCCCAGCGGCCTGGGTAAGACCCAAAACTCCGCATTCTTCAATCCCCCCCAGATAATACTGACATAAGTGGTCCTCATTGCCTGGACCCACCCTCTTATTGCAAGAAAGGTAGGAATTGGGAGCACAAACGTGGAGAAAAATGACCGATCCCACATAATTAAGTGGCAGAGCCTGGGGTAGAATCCAGACTGTAGACTTGCACTCAACTGCTTTACCCTACACCCCACCCCCACCCCCCCTTTCCTGCCCCATGTGCAGGGCATGGTTTAATCAGTCCCAGGCAGGCTGGCAGGCAGTGCATTCACATTGTTGGACCAAATGAGGAATGAGTCCCTTTCTGAGTACACCAAAGAACCCCACCCAACCGCTCCACATCAAAGCTCCACTCTCGGCATTGACTCTTCTTGGCCAGGGTTGCCTCAGTCTGCACCCTGGAGAAAGCTAAGCCCGCACCCCAAGGGAACAATGAACAGTTTGGGTGTGTATATCCCATCCACATGCACACTCTTGTCTGTACGCGGTCAATAAGGACTGTCTACATATGCCATCACAGGCATAGCCCAACAAGAATATAGAGCTCCCGTGTGTGTGTGTGTGTGTGTGTGTGTGTGTGTGTACCTGGGGCGCCTGACCCACCCATGTGTATGGGATTCTGGCTCAAGTTTAGGTGTGTTCAGTAACAGGCAGTGACCCCAATCTAGGACAGGTGGATCATATGTGCTGACAGCCACTTTCAATGGCCATGGACGGGGAAATTGATACCCCCTTGCATACCCTCATGAGAAGCCGCTGGGGAAGCATCTGGGAGAAGCGGAACTATGATCCCTATCCCCATGCTCGCACCCATCTGCAAGATGACCCCCCAACCCCTTCAAAAGCCTGTGTGGGGTGCACATGCTGGGGCCCTATTTGCTTTCAGAATCCCCCTCTCCCCTGGGGGGAGAGCAGCTAGCAAGTAACCCTGCCAGGCTCCGCAGAGCAGGCAATTCCATTCCCTGCAAGGGTCTGCAGGACCACTCTGTGGGAGGAGGGTGGGTGTTCTCAAGGCCACTCTAACACTGTCAAGAAGTGTCGTTTTCTTCGGTTCCTTCCAAATCTCTGCCCTTTCCTATCTGTCTTGTCGCAGCCTAGCTTCGAAACCTCCAGGCTGCAACGCTTTCCGAGAAAGCCAGGAACACAGCTGTGCGTCCTATTCCCTATGGGGGAGTTCGAGCTCTCCCTCCTGGCTCCAGATGTAAAGAAACAGCTGTGGGGTGGCAGAAAGCCCAGCTGGCAGCTAAGCGGGGCCTGGGAAGATGGAGAACAAAGGGGAGAGACAGGCGATGGCAGGGCTATCACAATTCTAGAGACCTGGGGGGAAAAAGCATTTCATCCCCTGGCCTGGCAACTGGCTAACTGGCCTTGCCAAACCCCTTAGCTGCTGCCCAAGCCCTGCCCATCCCGAACTTGGCAGCCTGAGCCCCTGGCAGGACCTTCTGTAAACTCCATTTTATGATTCCCACTTAATCTGAGAAGGAAAACTTGGCTTCCTCTATCTGACTCCACCCCGGTCCTCCAACAGACATCTCCCAGTACGAGATTTTGAAAACTAAAAGCTGGTGAGAAAGAAGGCAGGGGATGGGTCTGCCCCTCCCGACCTCTGGGAAGTAAACCAGGATGCAGGATGCCAGCTGGGTGCCCAGCAGACAGGGCTGCTCTGGGCACCCCTTGCTCGCCTGCCATGCCAAGGTGACAGTGTATGACTTGGCACCGAGCACTATACTCAAAAACACATTTCCTGAATGACTGTGGTCTGCGTTGGGTCCCCCTGAGTCTTTAACAAGCCTGTCCACTGCCAGGAGAGGGGCCCCTGCCACGCCCCACTGCCCATCCATGTCCTCCCCAATCTGCAAGGACACCGGGTATCACAACTGCTTCATTTTAGGAAAATAGTTTAATTTGTCTGGTGCCTTGTTCCTGGATGAGGTTGCCTTCTCCGAGGACACCCCCACCACTGCTCTTCCCACGCCTGCTGGGAGGACCAGCCCCTCTGGAGGACACCACCCACTCCAGATGACCCCCTTCCTGGGAGGCTTACTCTGGGTGTAGGCCTTCGTGGGTCCATCATTTTTGTGATTTTATAAAAAGTGGTCCACACACTGTACATGCCTCCTTTTCTGGATGCCATGGGACCAGCCCACAGCACTTTCTTCCCCTTAATTAAATAGCCCGTTAAATAATCTCCCTGCGCTGACAGGCAGGACCACAAGCCTCGTCCCTGCGCTGGGCTCCCACTGCCCGGGCCTCCGCCCTGACCAGATCTGGCCTCCGCGAGAGCAGCCAGGGGCATGGCCCCTTCTCAGACCTGGCCAGCTCCGGGACCCCTCCCCACGCAGGCGAGGGGGGTCCGGGCTGGTCATGCTGGCACCAGGTACCCGCACAGCCGTGGCTGGGGTCGCTCAGGCAGCGGAGTGGCAGGCCGGTGGGCACAGCCCCTGTCGAGGTCAGAAGTAAGTGAGGTTCCTGACTGCTCCCATTCCCAGCATCCGTTTGATGGCCAGGGCCTCCTGGGAGACGTTGTGGCCTGACCCCTGTGGAGACAGCCAAGAAAGCAAACTGAGGGACTGCTAGGGACATCCCTGGCCCTCCCCACAGCCCCACACCCCGAGAGCTCCTTCCCCATGCTGCCTCTCAGAAGGAAGACAATCTGTGTGGCTGAATACAGAGGACACTGGCTTGGGAATCCAGATGCCTCGGTTCCAGTTCTGACTCCGAGTGACCTCACTGTGAGCCCCCTCTGGGCCCGGGGCACCACCCACTCACCCAGTGTCCCAGGGTGGTCTGCCCCACCCACACGCAGGAAGGAGCCACTTACCGCCATAGACTTGAGTGTGATCTGCTCGTAGTAGTGAATGGTCTGCTTCCTATTGTGGGCATCTGGGTAGCCAAAGCCAGCAATATGCACCACGTCGCAGAGGTGGAGGGCCAGGGTGATGGCCACCAGGCCTGTGGTGGGCTTCTGAGGAACATGGGGCAGGGAAGGTATTAGAGGGAGCCCGCCCCTTTCAGCATCTTCTGGGACAGCGCTCTGCAACAGAACCTTGCTGTCCCGGAAGTGGCCTCCCTCTGTGTCGTCCTGATGGAAGCCACCAGCATGGGTGGCAGCTGAGCGAGTGCATCGGGCTCCTGGAGTGGAGGGACTGAAGATTCCACTTTGTTTCACTGAAATAGCCATGTGTGGCTCGTAGCTACAGACTGCGTAGTGCAGAGGGGGAAACTGAGGCTTACAACTGTTAAGCAACTCCCTAGGGAGTGGAAGGTTCTACTCTGAGCCTTGGAGGACCTCACTTCTTTCAGAAGACCCTGGGGCCCCATGTTCACAGACTGTGTGCCCTTTATGAGGCGGGCTCGCCCCCTCCGTAAAGCAAGGATGGCAAGCCTTTCCCACCCCAGATCCGTCCACAGAGACGGGACAACCTGGTGCCCTAACTTCACAGAGCCCCCCTTGCTCAGCTCTGCCTTCCAGACCACGTCGGCAGGCCGGCTTCCTGAGGCCGAGGCTTAGCCAGCATCTGTTTCTGAGCTCGGCTACATTTCATGTCACTTCCTGCCCGGGCCTTTCGTTTCCCCTGCTGTCCAACCACCGTCACCTCAAGCAGTTCAGACTCTCACCAAACCACATGTCCATCGCCCCCTGCACAGCTCTGCCTGGACATGGGCTCCTGAAACTCCCCAAACCCCCCCCACCACCCCGTCTTCCCTGCATGTGCTACACCTATTACCGCCCACCCAGCTGTCCAAGCCGGGCACCTGGAACTGTCACACACCTCTCCCTGCACCTGTCAAGTAAATGTTGTAGCAGGAGCATCCGAAGACAACTCCCACTGACCCTCACCCTTGGGTGTGCGTGGAAGCTGTGGACGCGATGAGATACCTCACACTCACACTACGTGCTATTGCTTTAGATGGTGCGGGCGCCCGTCAGAGCGATGATCCTGGTGGGCTTGACCTAATTTCATGAGCTTATACATCGGGGTCCAGAGCTGAGCGTGGAGGAAGTCAGAGATGGGAAGCATGAGAAGGATTTATCACGCTGGGGCAGGTCTGAGATGGAGGAGACACATGGCAAGGAGCAGGGGCGTTCTCCAAGCACTGTGGGTGCTCCCCGCGACCCGGGCTGACAGCCAGCAAGAAAATGGGAACTTGGTCCCGCAACCACAAGGAACTGAATTCTTCCCACAAGAATGAGCGTGAAAGTGAAGCCCCCTCCCCCACCCCCAGTCTCCAGCAAGAACTCAGTCCTACTGCCGACTGGACTCCAGCCTCGTACAGGGATTCTCCGCTTTTTGCGAGTTCATGTTAGGCCACGGGGCTTCTACAAAAGACCTCCACAAACACCTGTGTTCGCTAACCAAGAGAAATCCAAAGAGTTCTGCTTTCATGAAAAGAGGTGAAAAGCATTTGTTTTGCAGAGTGGCCCCGCCAAGCTCCTTCCCTGAACCACACCCAACATCGCGCTGCCAGAGCTTTGAACTGTGTTTGAGCTTCTGGGCTTTATCCGGTTTACCCTGCGCCTCTATTAACAAGATGTGTTCTAAGGTATCAGAAACGCCTAAGAGAGCTCATGAGGGTGTTGCACTTAGCATACAACTGGATGTCATTAAGCGCTTCAATTGCGGTGAACGTAATAAAGACATAGCTACAGATGATAATTGCTTGGGGAAGGTTTCTTAGGAACACCCCACTTTCGGATAGCTAGCAGAGACTCTGCATAGCTACCCTAAGCAGAGAGCCCAGCCACCCTGTGCTGGACTTTTGACCTACGGAACTATAAGCAGATACATGGGTGTTGTTTTAAGCCCCTAAACTGTGATAATTTGTTAGGCAATGACAGAAAACTAATACAGATCACGTCCATCCCTCCCGTTTCTCTTCCCACCACAGGGCTGGGTCTGGTCCTTCCTTTCTCTTGCCTCCCTCTCCAGCCTTCATTTCTGCCTCCTGTCCCATCAGGGGCATGAAACCCCACCAGGCTGCCTCCACAACTCCACTTGCAGCAGGACTCAGTGCCGGGGCGCTGTCAAATGGCATGCGTTCCCCCAGTTCCCTGCCTGATGGCCCCGTGACCCCTCAAGGTCCAACTCCAGCACCACCTCCTCCGGGAGGCCCGCCCCTTCTCCGAGACCCCACAGCACGTGGAACAACGCTCTGCTGGGGCATTTGCTGCGCCATGCCGCCAGCTGTGTGTATTCTGCCGGCCTGAGAGTAACAGGACAAGGAGCACGTCTTACTCCCGCATGCGGACTTGGGGCCCGGCACTGCGTGATCATGAAAGCAGGGACTCAACATGTGTAGCTGAATCACAATAGTTACTCAGTAGAGGATAAAATCATTTATTCAACAGTAGGCAAATATTTATTGAGCATCTACTGTGTACCAGTGCCCATGATGGGCCTGTTACATAATTATCTTGTTAAATCCTGCCATGGCCTTCAGAGGCCCCCACCGTACAGATGAGAAAACAGAGGCTCCGAGTGGCTGACTCGCCCAGGGCCACACAGTAAGTGGTACAGTGAGTCCCGTCTATTTCTGCTGCTCTCGTCCACAGCCTCTCAGGAGGCTATGAGCTCAAGCTCACCAGCCGAAGACCACGAAGGGCGCTGGGAGCTCAAACCAAAACCCTAACTTGCAAAACTGCATCACGACTCCCCAAACTGACCATGATATGCAAGACCCACTGTACGCTCAAACCCTTAACTCATTCAGACCTATACGCAAGCTTACAGATGAAGGGATCTAACGGCAACGGCGCAGGCCTGAGTTGTTCTCCAGGTAAGCCTGTGACTGCCCCAGCAATGCCTCAGCTTACAAGCTTCGACCAGTGCCTGCCAAAACCAGCCCCAAGCCCTGTAAATTCCCTCCCATAACTTCCACCTCGGAGATGCCCTGCGGATCTCGAGCTCACGCTCTCCCGGCTGCAGCAAGCTAATAAACCTGATTACAGGTGTGCCTGAAGGCTGTGGTCCCCCTGCTCAACAGGTGCTATTCAAACGGGAGCTGTGATCTGTTATTACTCTCCCTCCCGTGGGGTCCTCTGCGGCTTCCTGCGTCTCTAGGAGCGTCCCACCTACTTCCCGCCCTCGACCCCACCCCATCGTCACCTGCTTCATCTTGCGCGGCTGCTGCATTGGCAGGCTCAGCAGTTTGTCAGCTGCGATCTCCATGAAGAAGGGGTTGAGGATCCGAATCTGTTTGGGGTTGACGTCCCAGATGAGGGGAGGCTGTTTCCAGAAGCCCTTTCGAACCTAAGGGGATGAGGTTGGAGGAAAGAGATGGAGGTGGGCCAAGACCTGTCTGTCAAGCCCAGCCTGGCGGTCCTCAGCCCGGGGAAGGGGTCGCGTGATGGCAAAGACGACCCCTCCGGGGGAGAGAGCAGAGGGAGGTGAAGGCCTGCACCTGGGACAGGAAGGGAGAGAAGAGGGGGCACTCCCAGGACAGGCCAGGTGACAAAGGTCCAACCACTTCCCGCTCATGTCTGGGGCTGTGTAAACACTTGGAAAAAACGCCAGACTGGACAGTTCAGCATTTGACTGGATGACAAAAGGACACATGGACTTCCCGGAGACCACCTAGGAGGACCCAGATCTCGACTGTCCTAGCCTGCCTGCCGCCTGGAGATGACTCCTGACCAGCCCTCTGCTCCCAGGTCTCCCAGGTTTCTCCCTGGCAAACCGAACTTGGCGGCTTTTCTGTCCCAGGCAGCCTGGAGCTTGGGGTGCCCTTGGCTGCCGCCGGACTCCTGCAGGCATGGGGGCGGGCTGCCAGGCGCGCCATCAGAAGCCCTGCAGACAGCCCCGCCCTCCCTTCACCAGCTCTAGGACGGCGGAGCACACGTCGTGGAACGGAAGGGCCTGACTCCGTGTCCCTACCCCCAGGCCTCAACCCCTCCCCATCTCCCCACTCACCCGCTTCTTGTCACTCAGGATGGTCTCGATCCAGTGGAAGTCCATCGCCTTGAAAGCCACCAGGACGAGGAGCGTGTCGGGGTTGTTCTCCACCTTGGGGTTGAAGTGGGCAGACTCTGGGTAGAAGAGGCGCATGGTGGTCTTGGAACCCACATCACCCTCGTAGCCAGCCACTGGGGCATTGTTTAATCTGGGGGGCGGGAAGAGGACGCCATCACCTCGGGCCCCCCGGCCAGGCTGCAGTCGCTCCCAAACCCAAGAGGGCAGAGAGTCATACAGACCTGATGACCATGTCGTACTTGTTGATGACGTCTCCCAGCGAGCTGTTGCGGAGCCGGTGCCCGTTGCCCACCACCACGCAGCGGCAGCACTTGAGGCTGCCACGGGAAGAGGGTGCTCAGACACAGAAGCAAGCGCCGCTCCTGCCCTGGGTCTGCCCTAGCCTGGCTCAGACCCCACCCCAAAGCCCCGCAGCCCCTGGTCCAGGCATCTGCAAGGAGTCTTGCCTATGGTCCTGCTGACTCTGCAGCCCTGGGTTCTATCACCGGAGAGGAAACTGAGCAGAGCATGGAAGAGAGAGGAGGAGAGAGGGAAGACGACCCCATTTCAGAGCCCCTCGCCTGCTGCCCAGGCCTGCCTGTTGCCACGGCAACACCCTCAGCAGCTGTGCCTGCTCCGGCAGCCAGGTGCCTAGGCTCAGTCGCTGTGGAGACTGACATACTTGCCTCCCCTGGAGACAGGCAGGCTAGGAGATGGGACAAATTGGCCACAGGGGACCAGAGACAGGAAGGCTCAATGGAAGGAGAAGGCACGCGGACTGGAGTCAGAGGACAGTCTCCTTACCTCTGGATGCTCTCTGGAATGGAGTAGCTGGTGATGGCTAGAACGCGGAGAAGCAGGTCTTCTGCAGGAAGAACCCATGGGAAGGGCTGATGACAAGAGGCAGCGCCCCAGGCTGCCGCGCTCCCCCCTCCACGCCTCCGAGCTCTGCCCGCCTTCTCTTCCCCTGACGCCAGAATCGGAGCCTGGCGAGAACCTGGGCGCTGGGACTGCCGAGGGCAAAAACTCAGAGTGTGGCCTAGCGGAGCCCGCTGTTCCCACACCAGGCGGCACTCACCACTCCCCTTGGTCCCGTAGGGCAGCTCGTAGGCAGAGGGTGCCTTGACCCAGAAATAGTCCTTAAGCTGTAGGAAGATGGGCTGATCTCGAGAATAGCTGCACAGAGGCGAGAGCAGGGCAGGGACATGAAGGGGATTAATTCTGATGCCGGAACAGGATCAGACAGGCCCCTCACTAATATTCTAGATGCACATCCAAGGGCCTCTCCCTCCTTCGCTGAGTTCACCTAACCCATGTCCACCAACAGGTCCCTCCAGCCAGCCAGCTGCGGCCCCCTCTGGGAAATATCCCAGCTCACCCCAGGCCCCGCCCCTCCCACCGCAGCCTCAAGTACTTACTTGCCAAAGAGCTTAGAGACCTTCCTCTCTGCTTCGCCCTGCAGGCACGGCTCCTCCTTCTCTGCGATTGGAAAATAAAAGCTGGGGACAGAACAGAAGCAGCAGGAGCTCCAGTCAGACTAGGGCCCAGCCTCCGTCTTCCCCCCCCAGACATCGCTCCCAGGCGCTGGAGAGCAATTTACAGGGTGGGGTCATCTCAACCCAAGTTCCAAACCATTGAGGATCCAGCTCTTTCTTCTCCTGACCCTCCTGGCCAAGGGCCTGGGGGAGTCCAGACCTGATCCTCCAACCCCCCTCCTACCCTCACGGAAGCATTTTGTGCTGAGTTACAGGGAAAGGCCATGCTCAGACTCTCTCAACCCTCCTGCCCCACTCTGTGCCCACCCGAGTCCTCTTCCCGAGGAGAAGCCGTGGAAGGACATGGAAGCTGGACTCACAGCTCAGTGTACCTGTCTTCTCGGGAGATGGAATACCACACCATGATGACCAGGACCAGTGCCAACATGGCCAGGAGCTTCCAGCCTGCAGGGTACATGCACAGGGGAGCTGGAGGCAGAAACAGGCAGGTCCACCTTCTCACCTGCCCGGCTTGGGGCCCCTGCAACCCCCAACTCAAGCTGACCCAGTCCCCGGCCCTAGCCTGGCCCTTGCTTTCTAGCACAGGGCTTGGACCTGAGCGTTTCCAATGTTCGCCAAGAGAGAGGGACCCCGAGCTCCCTGTCTGTCCCTCCACAACCCCTGGGGTCTCAGGATGATACTAAAGACTGCTTCTGGGGGGCCCCATTTTTCAGGGTGGGGAGCTGTTAGACAACACTCACGGGACTTGCTGATCATGTTTCTCAGCGGGAAGCAGGGTTCCTGGGGAGAGCTGACATCCCGGCTGCCTCGAGCCACCTGGGAAGTAGGAGTCACAAGTGTCCAGTCAGCTCCACACACCTCCCACCGGAGGCTGGAGCAGGACACACCCACACCTGCCCTCCGCAAGCACAGGGCCGCTTCAGGGCACCCTCTTCTGCAGAAGGGCCCTGCCCCCTGGACATCCCGCAGCAGCTTCAGGGGTTCAGGGGGTCTCACTCCTCAAGGACTAGGCTCTGTGCCAGGCTGGCCCCAGCTTCCCCGGCATGGCTCCCTTCCTGTCCTTGTCCTCACTTTGACCTGGGAAGGGCCAGTTCCCAGAAGCAAATGGGCACTTCCACCCATTTTTACACAAAATTAAGCTAACGACACAGGGGTATGATTCATATTTTATGGAAGCTTATCTTTGTGTGTCTGTTCACCAACATGCAAGGCCTCCCTCTGGCTCTGCCACGCCTACCTCCACCGATGGTCCCCACTATTCCAGCCGGACAGGTCTGCTCAGGCCAGCACGGGGCGAGGGTGGAAATACGAGACAGGGCCTCCCCCAGCCCCTCTGGACTCTGATGAAATGCAAACAGTGTCCAGGCCCCTGCCACCCAGGGTGTGGGGAGACTCCGAGAAGACAGGGTGTTTCCATGGGAAGGCGGCAAGCAAAGAGTCTGTTTGGTCAGAGGAGGTGGGAGACCCTTCCAGGAAGGGCAAAGGCCAGTGTGGCAAGGACAGGCTGTGGAGGGGGAGCTCCTCCTGGCAAGGTGGCCGAGAGATCCCCAAAGCCGGGGCCACGCTTCACAGTCCCTGGGGAGGAGATTTCTGGGCCCTCCATGGCCACACCAAGAGGCATGGGTGCAGCCAACAGCCAGTTGCTTTCTTTTTAACAAACATTTATTTTTTAAATGTATTGATCTGAGAGAGAGAAGCATCCATGTGTTCCACTTATCCATGCATTCACTAGCTGATTCTTACATGGGCCCTGACCAGGAACCAAACCTGCAACGTTGACGTATTGGGACAACGCTCTAACCAACTGAGACACCGGCCGGGGCCTGCACCTGTTTCTTCTATCCATTCACAGGAATCACCAGGCCATTTGCTAAAATTCCAGATTCCAGAGCCCTCCTGTGGGGCTGCTTCCGCCAGCAGGGGACCTGGGAGGGGCATTTCCACAAGCTGCCGGTTTTGAGGGATCAAGAGAGAGAGAGAAGCGCTAGTGTCTGCACTCTCCAACATGAATAAAAATCTCGACTATTTCTCCAGGACGGGGACAGTGTCTGGACAAGGCCTGAGTTTTCTTACAAATCACCAATGACCCTGAACACTGTCCTGTCACTGAGTCATGGTCGGCTCTTGGGGGTGTTCCCCAGCTCCACCCAGAACCCTGAGCCTAAAGAATGAGGTCTTGAGAGCCATGAGGGGCCAGGAGTCAGGCGTCCTCAGTAGGGTCAGGAGCACCCATCTAACCGAGAGGGGAGGGAGGACAGCCCTGTCCAGTCAAGTTCTAGGTCTGCGATCAGAAGATGCCACTGTGAGTCACGGTTCTAGTAACTACCATGGTTGCTGTTCCGAAAGGGCACCCCCCCCACCTACCCACAGCTACTGCCCCGGGCCCTGCCACGTGGCCTCTACTGCCTTCGTGCAGATCTCTAAGCCGGTCACTGACTCATCTGTCTGCTTGCTGATTTGCCCCCTGGAATGGAGGCTCCGCAAGGTGAGGGTAGCAATCAGGTCTGTCTTGTCCACCCCTCCCCCAGCCCCAGCATGGAGCACTCGAAAGCAGTGACTGAATAGCATGTTGGGCTACTTTGGGGGGGGGGGTCACTTCTCCCTCTCTGACCCTGTTTCTTTGGCTGTACAACTGGGAAGATGGTCTCAGATGTTTGCAGGCAGCAGCAGGGACCTCATTAGGAAACTTAGAGAGTCATGGTCCCAGGCCCCCTCCAGACCCACAAAATAAGAATCAGCATTTGAATAAGATCCCAATGATTCAAATGCACATTCAAATGTAAGAAGCGCTGGTCAAGACAGAGGGATGGACTTGACTTGGCTGAACAGGATTTCCTGCGGTACTACTGGTCCCAAACCGAGGAATTCTGACTTCACTGTCTGGCCCAGCCCTGGAACTGGTTCACCCACCCGGGGGGATTCAACGTTGGGAAGCACGGGCCGGAGGGGCCCAAAGCAGGCTCCTCACACTCTGACTTGCACATTCTGACTCAGTGGGTGTGGGTGGGTCCAACCCAACCAGCCCCCAGGCGGCGGGAGCCCTGCTACTGGAGAGACCAGGATCCTTCCAGCTCCAACATTCCCCCTTTCTCTCTCCGTCCCCCTTCTGTGACCAGGATTCACTCCATCTCCCTTGCATCGATCACAACACTGACTGCACAAGGCAACCCATCACCTAAGAAGTAAAAATATGCAGATGTCCGGGCCCCACTCTCCAAGATTCTCATTTAATTGGCTAAGATTCTCATTCACCTGCTCTGGTGAGTAAAAAACAACAGACCCAACTCCTCCCCTCCCGTGTGCTTCGTTGATGCAGCCACATGGAAACATTACAGAATGTGTCCGCAGTAAAATACTCAGCAGCCCGCCGGAGGACACCTTAGCCACCAGAGGTGACCAGCACTGACGGGTCCAGAGCAACAAGACAACCAGCCCTTCTCTGAACAAGAAAGTTCTGCACTCGAGGTCCAGACTGTGCTGGTTTGATGCTCTGCAGACTGGCCAGTCTTAGAGCTTGCTGTACGGGGATTTCATTAGCCCACCCGACCCCCTCACTGGGCCAAGCCCAGAGGACGGCTCAGCAGCCCCGGGACACCCCAGAAGCATGGTTCTTAGGCTGGCTGCTGCCTCAGGACAGCTGGCAGCCTTCTCCCAGCAGCCCCCCCACACCACTGACTGAGCCCCCCGGTATACAAGGACAGGAGAAGACTCAAAGTAGGGTACCTGGGCAGGAGAGCCGGCAGCTGACCCACTCATGTCCAAGGTGCAGCAGCCTCTGGCTGCCAGACAGCCCGGTTCACCCAGCCCACTAGGCACAGCTGACCCCAGGCTGGGAAGGATGTGTGCTCTCTTGATGTTCTGCCAGAAGCCAGAGTCCGGGGCAGAGGGAGAAGGGGAGCCGGTGAGCACTACCACGGAACTTGCCAAAGGGCAGCCCGGGGGCAATAAAGAAATAAAGCCCACAGAAGCAGCCACCATTACACATGCCACCTGGCACCCCAGCTGGTACACGGCCCGCACTCGCTGTTCCAGAGGAACAGGACGGAACTCCTCCAAGGGGCACAACGCGATGCCAGCCCCTCAGACCCCTGGCCCACCAAGGGATGTGGCTTAATGTTCCTGAGAAGGCTATGGGGAGGGGTGGGGGCAGAAGCACAGGTTCTGCTCTCACTGATTCAGAGACCTAACGTCACTGTCCCTCAGCTCTGAAGGAAAAACTCGAGCTGCCTGCCTGCACCTCTAGGCCCACCGACCATTCCTGCTCCCTCCCAATTCCTGCACCTGGACACTGGGTGTCCCTCACCGTTCCAGCGTGATCCCCATCAGCGATGCCCCCTTGCCCTGATCCTTCCATCCCCCCTCTGACTTATGCCCTCACTCTACCCCTGCATCCCGGACCTTGTCTCCAAGGTCCTTGTCCCTCCTGCTTCACTTTCCACCCAGCCCCTCACCCCGCCCACCTGCCTCCCACCTGACTTTGCAGCTGGATCCTTCTCGCTGGGGCCCCGATGCGGTCAGCCTCCTCCTTGGCTTCTCGGTCCGGAGTCTCCCCAGGCCCTCCCGCCACCTCTGTGACGGGCTCTGTGCGGGTCCCCTTCTCAGTGCCGGCCCCCGGGAGCTGTCCTTGAACCCTCCTCCCTCCCGTCTGTTTTCACAGGACAAGTTCATTCGTTTTCCGAGCTTTAACTACTACTCAGACTCTGATGATTCAAGCTCTTTATTTTCAGCCCTTTCATTTCTCTCCCAGATCCCAGCCTGATATTTCCAATTCTCTATGGTACATCTTACCTGGATGGTCCTAAGATTTTCAAACTGAGCATGTCCCAAACTGGACCCCTCTCTCCCCACCCCCACCCCCACATCATCGACTCGGCCTCCACATCTCCCTCCCCGTCACACCATCCCTGCTAAACAGTTACTAAATATTATTGATTCTGCCCCATTTCCTAACTCCAGCAAATGTTTGCTGAACTCCCACTAAATGCTTGGCACTGTGGGCGGCAAGGGGATATCGGTCCAGGGTCAAGGCCACGGCCTCTAGGGCCTCAGGGACATTCGGGATGCAGCCCTTCTCCCCTTCTCGGGCCAGGGACTGAGCGGAGAGCCCACCCCATTCACCTGCTTCCTAACTGGCCTCTTTGCCGCACGCCTGTCCTCCCTCAGGCCCCTTCCTTGGAACTGTCAAGATGGTGTCTTTCTAAGAAACAATTTGGCTCGAACCACCCTCCTGCTTCGGATGCTCCCTGTTCCTTAAATGAAAGCCCAAAACTCGCCCGGCCGGTGTGGCTCAGTGGTTGAGCGTCGACCCATGCACCAAGAGGTCGCCGGTTCGATTCCCGGTCAGGGCCCAGGCCCAGGTTGTGGGCCCGATCCCCAGTGGGGGGCCTGCAGGAGGCGGCCATTCGATGTTCTCTCTCATCGATGTTTCCATCTCTCTCCCTCTCCCTTCCTCTCTCTCTAAAATCAATTGAAAAAAAAAGGAAACCCAAAACTCCTTAGAGGCCGCTGGGGCCCTGCAGGCACACCTCCGAGCCTCCTCTGGGCACAGGACGAGAGGCGCCCCCCTTCCTCCTCCCACAGGGTGTCTGCCAGAAGCCCCCCACCTGGCTGCACGACAGGCCCCCGCCTTCGGAGCGCTGGACCAGGGACACCTCAACCTTGAAGTCTTTTCTGGCATTTCTAAGCAACTGATGTTTGTCCTCCCACAAAATATTGTTTATGTCCTGATTCTAGCCCTCACAGGTAAAATAATTTCATATTATGTAATTACTGCTTTTCATGCCCACTACCTTCTGACGTCTGAACCTGGAGGCTTG